TTAGAGTGGAATTGTAGTGGAATTGCAGGAATTTCAGTGGAATTGCAGTGGAGTTGTGGTGTAATTTCAGTGGGATTGTGATGGAATTACGGTAGAATTTCAGTGGAATTAGAGTGGGATTGCGCTGGAACTGCAGGAGTTGCAGTGGGATTGCGGTGGAACTGCAGGAGTTGCAGTGGGATTGCGGTGGAACTGCAGGAGTTGCAGTGGGATTGCGGTGGAACTGCAGGAATTTCAGTGGAATTTCAGTGGGATTGCGGTGGAACTGCAGGAATTTCAGTGGAATTGCGGTGGAACTGCAGGAGTTGCGGTGGAATTGCGGTGGAACTGCAGGAATTTCCGCTGTGCAGCAATCCCCAGAGCCCGACCTGAGCTGCAGGGTGACACCCCCTCCCTCGCTGCCCCTCACCCAAAATGACGCGCTCTGAGCCGGGATGCAGACCCTGAGCCCCGGCCCTGAAGCCGCCTGTCACCGCCGTGGATGGGTGTAAAAAGGGCGTTTTTGGGTGTTCCAGCGAGCAGCACAACACAGCCCTCCTGTCCCTGCGTGGTACCTGGAGCACGCCCAGCTCCTGGCCACCCAAAACCGAGCGGGGTGCCACAGGCCCTGCACTTGTCAAAGGGAAAGGAGTGCAGTGAGGGGGGAGCCAGAGCGTGTCGGCACAGTCTGCCCGCTTCACACGGCATTTCTGAGGGAAAAACAGAGAAATCGGCGAGTTCCAGGCTCCTCATGTCCGCCGCTCCTCCCGGCATCGCTGCTTCAAGAAATCAAACACCCCCTCTGCATCTGAAGCACGTTTGGTGCTGGTGTTGGGGAAAATGGGTGTGAAACAGCAATCAATATTGACGCAGTAATTAATATTTGGAAATAGTAAAACAGTTAAAAGAAGGAGGGTCCCCCCTCCCCCTTTTGCTGCAGATGTTCAGGACGGGAAGAACCAAGAAATAACGATGACGAAAATTAACAGAACAGAAAATTTGGTTAGGTCCCAGGAAAACGCTAATTTGGAGGGTCCCCCCTCCCCCTTTTGCTGCAGATGTTCAGGACAGGAAGAACCAAGAAATAACGATGATGAAAATTAACAGAAAGAACAGAAAATTTGGTTAGGCCCCAGGAAAACGCTAATTATGAGATTTGATGCCAGAACATACTATTGGCTTGTGTGATATTAGCTTTGGCTTGCATTACACCAGCTTGGTGTGCACGTGTAATCCAAATGTGAATCAAAGGACACCGAGGAAGAGGAGAGGCCTTCATCAGGGACCCCCAAAGAGTGGGGGACCACCTAAAAAATGGTGCAGCATGCGTGATGAAGGTGATGATGAGGGTGGAGATACAGGTGTGACAAATCAAAAATGGGAGGAGATGGTGATGACGTACAGCACAAAAAGGGAATTTTGTCTTGGCACGTTTGTATGTGGGGTGCCAGGGGTCCAAGGACCCTGCACTCTTTAATCTGCAAGTTATTTTTGCTTATGCACTACTATCAGAACGAATTTTGTCTTGGCACGTTTGTATGTGGGGTGCCAGGGGTCCAAGGACCCTGCACTCTTTAATCTGCACAGTTATTTTTGCTTATGCACTATTATCAGGACCAAATTATCCCTTATTTTAACCAAATTATACTGTCAATATTTCAAGCGTATTCAGTTTTATATACATTTTAAGCTACTTAATTAGAATTGCTGCTACATTTAATTTAGTTTGGTTTTCCTTTATGGTGGGGTAACTGGGCTGATGTAACAGTGTGCCCCAGTGGCCAGACACCAGCTCTCGGATCTCCTCTGGCTGAGATGACCCCCAGGAGTGTTAAAAATCTCTTTTCCCCAACCCAGCTGTCGAAGAAGGAGTTAGAAGTCTTTGGTTTTATTCTCAAGGTTGTTTATTATTTCTTATCTCAAACATTTTCTGTCTGGCCTGCCGAGCTCTGCTCTGCAGGTCGGTCTGAGGCACACTGCACACCCCTGGAGTGGTGTTGTCTTTTGTAAGGTAACTTTGCATAACTGTAAATATGTAAAGGTGATAGGTGTTGGAACATAACTGTATGGAAATATTACATATATATATATGCATGTATGTAATATATAACCTATATATTCCATATTTACAGTTATGTTCCAACACCCATCACCTGTGTTAGACAGCGACTTTCTACCCTAAACCAATCCCAGAGTGGCACCATCACCAGGAAGATGGAGGCTGGGAAGAAGGAAGAAGGACAGGACAATGCCCAAATCCCTCCATATTTGTCCCCATAGTGAAATTCTTCAGAATTCCACCTTTCCCCGTGTGAGAGCCGCTGCTATGCTGCTGAAACTTCTGTGCCTTGTGGTTCTTCACACAAGGTTGGTAATTTGCTCCATGGGTTGAGATCCAGTCCCCGGGTGTCTTTGGCTTCCTGCCAGGGCTCTGAGCCATCCATGGGGATGTCCTGGGTCCGACTCCAGGAATCTCAGCCCTTCTCCTCCCCTCCACCACAGCAGCACCAGCACTGCACTCAGACTGGCCCTGGGCTCCAGCTGCCAGGGGACAACCCAGGGCAGCCTCCTCAACAGCACTGATCTTGCTTCCTGCTGCAATCTCAAATGTAAGGAATTCTCAGGAATTTGGGTTTGTTAAAGTTTAGAATTTTTAGAATAAAGTTTAGGAATTTTTAGAATTTTTGGGTGTGTTAAAGTTTGGGATTAAACACAGGATTTGATTTGAGATTTTGGAAAAGGTTTCTAAGCTTAAGCATTGAAAGTGAGAATGTGGATTTAGAGTTTAAAGCAACACACGTTAAGCTAAGCAAAGGAAAGTTTAAAGTTTTAAAACTTAAGATATAGGAAAAATAAAAGTAGTTATAAAAGTAATCAAGAAATTAAAGATACACTGCTCTAAGTTTGTGTGTTATACTTATAATTAACAAAAAAATCACTGTAGCATGAATCCATAAGATAAAATATTTAAAGATTAAGTTCTTGTTGGCAGTGTTTTGTTAGTTAATAAATCTTTAAAAGGTTTTGTAACTAGAAGTCTTCTGAACCAAACTATGAAGATGTGAGCTGAACTCACCTTTCTTACTTATGCAAAAGATAAAAAAAATAAACTGCATCACCAAAAATAATTCAAAAGTCTGGTCTCAATTAAAAATTCCTCACAGCTTCAGATCAGCAAATTCAGCTAAAATGTGGGAAACGCCAGGTTCTGGTTTGAGTGGGGAGGACAGGAGATAAAAGCAGGGTCTGTGTGCCCTCAGCAGAAGGAGTGAAGTCACTGCAGAAACAGAGTGTGGAACTCCCCCACAGGGGCATTTCTGCAGGCACAAATCAGGATAATTTATCCTTCAGAGTGAGTTTGGAGGGACAGTTTAATGGGAATTAAAGAGGGAATGCCCTCTTTCCTCCCATGGGTTTGTCCACCTGATGTGTGTCTTGGAATAAAGGACAACGTTTCCCACGTGGAGGAGAGCGCTTCTCAATCTTTTACCTTCGTCTGTGAAGTATCGTGTGGGCAAGGGTCTGTAGCTAGCCAGAGTGGACCCCAACAGCCCTGGAAACTCAATTCTTCAGGGACCTCATCATGAAGGCCTCAGTTTGCACTGTGCTCATCAAGTCCTGGGCTTTCACTGTTCCACTGGGATCTCTGTGGTCACAAAGTCCTCGTTTTCCACTGTTTCACTGGGATTTCTGTGGTCACAGATCCTGATTTTCACGTTTTAATCAGGATCTCAGGATCTCTAAAGGCCTTGGTTTTCACTGCTTCATTGGGATCTCATTAGGAAGTCCTTGGTTTTCATTGTTTCATTGGGATCTCTGTGGTCACAAAGTCCTCGTTTTTCAGTTTTTCCCTGGGATCTCTGTGGTCACAAAGTCCTTGTTTTTCACTGTTTCATTGGGATCATGTCATGAAGCCCCCAGTTCTCACCGCTTCATTGGGATTTCATTATGAAGTCCTTGGTCGTTTCCCACGTGGAGGAGAGCGCTTCTCAATCTTTTACCTTCGTCTGTGAAGTATCATGTGGGCAAGGGTCTCTAGCTAGCCAGAGTGGACCCCAACAGCCCTGGAAACTCAATTCTTCAGGGACCTCATCATGAAGGCCTCTGTTTGCACTGTGCTCATCAGGTCCTGGGCTTTCACTGTTCCACTGGGATCTCTGTGGTCACAAAGTCCTCGTTTTCCACTGTTTCATTGGGATCTCATTAGGAAGTCCTTGGTTTTCAGTTTTTCATTGGGATCTCTGGGGTCACAAAGTTCTCATTTTTCACTTTTTCATTGTGATTTCTATGGTCACAAATCCTGATTTTCACTTTTTAATCAGGATCTCAGTATCTCTAAAGTCTCTTGTTTTCACTTTTTCATTGGGCTCTTGTTATGCAGTCCTCGGTTCTCACTCTTTCATTGGGATCTCATTAGGAAGGCTTTTGTTTTCACTGTTTCATTGGGATCTCAGTGGTCACAAAGTCCTTGTTTTTCACTGTTTCATTGGAATCTTGTCATGAAGTCCTTTCAGGTCCTGGGCTTTCACTGTTCCACTGGGATCTCTGTGGTCACAAAGTCCTCGTTTTCCACTGTTTCATTGGGATTTCTGTGGTCACAGACCCTGAGTTTTCACTTTTTAATCAGGATCTCAGGATCTCTAAAGTCCTTTGTGTTTCACTGCTCCATTGGGATCTTGTTATGAAGTCCTTGGTTTTCATTGTTTCATTGGGACCTCTGTGGTCATAAAGTCTTCGTTTTTCAGTTTTTCGTTGGGATCTCTTTGGTCACAAAGTCCTTGTTTTTCACAGTTTCATTGGGATCTTGTCATGAAGCCCTCAATTCTCACAGTTTCATTGGGATCTCTGTGGTCACAAAGTTCTCGGTTCTCACAGTTTCATTGGGATCTCATTAGGAAGTCCTTGGTTTTCACTGTTTCATTGGGATCTCTGTGGTCACAAAGTCCTTGTTTTTCACTGTTTCATCAGGATTTTGTCATGAAGCCCCCAGTTCTCACAGTTTCATTGGGATTCGTTGGGATCTCTTTGGTCACAAAGTCCTTGTTTTTCACAGTTTCATTGGGATCTTGTCATGAAGCCCTCAATTCTCACAGTTTCATTGGGATCGCATTATGAAGTCCTTGGTTTTCACTGTTTCATTGGGATCTCTGTGGTCAGAAAGTCCTTGGTTCTCACTGCTTCATTGGGATCTTGTAATGAAATCCCCGTTTCTTTGGGATCTCTGGTCACAAAGTCCTCGTTTTTCATTGGGATCTCATTATGAAGTCCTTGGTTTTTCAGTTTTTCACTGGGACCTCTGTGGTCACCAGGTCCTCGTTTTTCACTGTTTCACTGGGACCTCTGTGGTCACCAGGTCCTCGTTTTTCACTGTTTCATTGGGATCTCTGTAACCACAAAGTCCTTGTGTTTCAGTTTTTCACTGCCACCTCTGTGGTCACCAAGCCCTCGTTTTTTGCTGGCACCTCTGTGGTCACCAAGCCCTCGTTTTTCACTGGGATCTCGATGGTCATAAAGTCCTCGGCCAGCGTCACCTCCTGGTCGCCCATGGCGGCCTCGGCCTCCCTCCTGAGCGTGTCCATCTCCTCGCGGCCGCCGTGGGGCTCGCCGGGCCGGTACCGCTGGCTGAAGTGGGTCAGCACCAGCCTCCTGGCGCGGGCCGGGCCCCGCGGGCCCCGCGCAGTCGCCCAGCACGCAGACCTTCCTGCCCGGCGCGGGCGGCCCCAGCACCTGGCCGGGCTGCACCCGCGTGCCGTTCTCCAGCACCACGGCAGCGCCGCTCTTCAGCTGCCCGTACAAGGGACCCGGTGGCACGCCTGGCAGGGAGAGGCAGAACAGCCCGTCAGCGACGCGCAGTCACCACGTCACATCAGTGCCAGCTTTGGAAAACGCCACCCCAGGTGTGCCAGACACAAAGCTGACTCACCCGAAAAAAGCACAGCCTCCGTATAAAAATCTGTTAGTATTTCAGATTTTTTGTACAAATTGAGAGCTTGTAACCTTAGCGGGAAGTGAGTTTGAAGAAAATAATGGAATTCTAGCATGGCTTGGGTTGGAAGGCACCTCCAAGTTCACCCTCCATTGTCCCCGGGTGCCGTGGGGCTCGCCGGGCCGGTACCGCTGGCTGAAGTGGGTCAGCACCAGCCTCCTGGCGCGGCAGCGGCGGGCGAAGGCCGCGGCGGTGCCGGGCGTGCTGTGCCCGTGCTGGCGCGCCCTGTCCCGCTGGCTGTCCCCCAGCGTGGCCTCGTGTGCTTTGGACACTGCCAGGGATGGGGCAGCCACAGGGAAACTATATCAAAACCCCCCAGTTACACTGCTGGTATTAAAGTCAAGAAAATAATAAAAATACACTGGCCATATGTTTTCCTGAAAGCCACGCTGAGCTGTTTAGAGTTTGGCACCTGAGCTCATCGGCTGTTCCCAGCATGAAAGTGGTCTGTGATATTCCCTGGCACCAGTGTGACACACCAGCTCAGGCTGCAGCTCGGGGGTCAGGTGCCAAAATGTCTCAGACAGAAAATGGAAAAATGAGTTAAAACAGGCTATGGAGAGAGACAGCGGCTCGGATTTGCTAGGACACATAGGAAAGTGGTCATAAAAGAAGCAAAAAGAGGCAAAATAAGTAAAAGTAGCTACCCAGCTCTTCCAGTCTCCGCACATTGAGCTTCCCAGGCCGGGGCTTCTCCTCCAGCACGAAGCCGAAGGAGGGCACGCGGTGGAAGAGGCGGAAGGCTCTCACAACCAGCTGCTCATCCTCCAGCAGCAAGTAGGAGTCTTCCTCTGCATCCAGGTGCAGAACTCTCCCTGGAGGTGCCGTGCCAAGCGCCTGGTCCCGGTCCAAGCCAGAAAAGTCCCTAAACTCTCCTGGGGGGCACTGGTCCTGCGTGGGGACCAGCTCGGTGACGGTGTAGGGCAGCAGGGGCTGGGAGTGGGACAGCTCCAGGCTCCTCCAGAGGAAGCTCCGCAGCCCCAGGGGCCCGTAAATATCAATGGGTGCTTTGCTGCCTTCAGGGCCCTTCTGGAGGCTGAGCGTGCACAGCAGCCCAGGAAGCCCAAAGATGTGGTCGCCGTGAAGGTGAGTGATGAAAATCTTGGTGATTCTGGCTGTTGAAGAGAACAGGAAAAGACAAAGCCAGGAAAATAAACAATGCAGCAGCTCGGAAATGATCGCTGTTTGGCAAGATGTTTGAAACAAGCGAGGAGGGAAAGTAAAAGCAGTGCTTAACAGACAAATCCCAGACCAAAAGGTATTTCTTTCCCCATCCCCTCCACACAAGGAAGATTTTGGGCTGACAGGCCGAGGAAAGGCTGCAGAGATGCAAGGTTTAGCTCCTTGTAAGCCAATGGTGACACCTGCTGACACCTGCCATGTGAAATGCAAGGGAGTGCTGGGGCAGCATTTGGGCTTCAATCTTACAGGAAAACTGTAGACTAAGGAGGGACACAATGAGGAGTTTGTGTTGCTCCTCCTTTTGACTCCAAAACAAAATCAAGAAGAGCCAACACCAAACCAGCATGCAGCTTTGATTTCAGAGTTTTTTAAGAGGTGAGAACCCCAGCGCTGCTGACTGGTTTGTTTAAAACAAGAGGAAAAGTTGCTCTGTAAACGTCTGGGCTTCCTTTGGTGCCTGGGCTGTCCTGCCCTCGCTGGGTCAGAAGAGCCCAGAACTCTCTCGCTGCAGACAATGTCCTGTAACCAGGCTGCCTCTGTCTCCTCTGCTGAACTCCCACTCCCACAGAGCCAGGCAATTCCTCCCGCACCTGCTGGGGCTGTGCCTCAGGAACGACAGAATCTCCTTTTGTTTTAAGATTAATTCAGCAAACAATTTCATGGAAATTACTCCATCTGCCTGTCATTAAATTCCCTTACAGGTTTTGGAGGAGCAGGAGCCTGTATTTCTGTTTGTAACTGACAATTCATCTCCATTCTTTGGGGGAGAAAAGTCATCTCTGGCCACTGAGGACTGTGGAAGCACAGTGACTGTGACAGTGAGGTGAGCTTTATTCCTGATTCATTTGCCAAAAGGTGAAAGTTACCCCCAATACACACTTGAAAAGAGTCATTTACCCACAGGAAGGCTGGTGTGTCTAGAGCCGCCCCCAGACAAACAACAAACAAACCGATCCTGTTTGGAGCTGCTCTGCGGGTTTGGCACTGCCAAGCCCTGTGAGTGAGCTCAGACTGTCTGCGGGAGGCAGCCCAGAGCCGAGGGGCGGCCAGAGACCGCTGCCAGCAGGTTGGGCAGCCCTGCCCGGGGCAGCCCTGCCCGGGGCAGCCCCGCCGGCACTCCTGCCCTGCCCGGGGCTGTCCCTCCCTCACGAGAGCGGCACAAACCTGCTCGCAGGTGGCTCCTCATCAGCTGTGTCTGCGTCCCCTCGCCGCAGTCGAAGAGCCAGCACTGCCCTTCCCTGCGCAGCACCAGCGCCGAGGCCCCGCGGCACGGCGACGGGAACGCCGAGCCCGTGCCCAGGAAGGTGAGCTCCAGAGACATCCCGGGCAGCAGGGACCGGGATCGCTGTGTCCCGGCTGAGTGCGGGAACACAGAACGCAGAGCAGGTGTGTGCTGGGACACAGAACACAGAGCAGGCACTGCTGGGACACAGAGCAGGCACTGCTGGAACATAGAACACAGACCAGCTGTGTGCTGGGACACAAACAGGCACTGCTGGGACACAGAAAACGGAGCAGGTGTGTGCTGGGACACAGAGCAGGCACTGCTGGGACACAGAACACAGACCAGCTGTGTGCTGGGACACAAACAGGCACTGCTGGGACACAGAACACAGAGCAGGCACTGCTGGGACACAGAACACAGAACAGGTGTGTGCTGGGACACAGAACACGGAGCAGGTGTGTGCTGGAACACAGAGCAGGCACTGCTGTGACACAGGTGCCAGGCGTTGGGACAGGAGCAGCTCCCAGGGCACGGCTGGAGCTGTGCCAGGGAGGGTTAGGTTGGATATCAGGGCAAGGCTCTTCCCCAGAGGGTGCTGGCACTGCCCAGGCTCCCCAGGGAATGGGCACAGCCCCGAGGCTGCCAGAGCTCCAGGAGCCTCTGGACACCCTGCCAGGGATACCCAGGGTGGGATTGCTGGGGGGCTGTGCAGGGCAGGAGCTGGGCTGGGTGATCCTGGGGTGTCCCTGCCAGCTCAGGGTACTCTGTGATTTGATGTATTTGTGCAGGGAAACCAACAAACATTGTCTGATGTGAAGGCATCCTCCACAGCTCAGTGTGAGGATGAAATTCCCTTTCCCTTCAAACATGAAAGCAAAACCTGCCTAGAGCAGGATTTGACTTTCAGACAACACATTATTCACAGGCAGAGATTTCCTTCTCATGTCACTGGAAGATTGCAAACATGCAGCCCAAGCACCTGTGTGGATTCCCAGAGAAAACAGCCCCACCCAGCTGGAACAGTCTAAGCTCTAACCCCAGCACTATTTCTTTCCTCTGAGCTCTGTTTAAACGTTGAGCTTTCCTGCGTGAGCCCTCCCTCCAGGAGCATTTCAGGGTGAGTTTCATGGAACAGTCTCTGCTGACATTTAAGCACCATTCCCGGATTCCAGGAGATGCAGAGGGGGAAGGGTCACTTCCCCAGAGCAACCTCAGAGCCCACAAGAAGCAGGGTGACCCGAGAGCACAGGCCAGGCAGGGAACGCCTGTTTCACCCCAAAAACATCTGTGCCCAGCTGCTGAGGTGTCTGTGACAGGGTCTGGATGAGGAGCCTGGTCTGCAGGGCTGGACACAGACAGCCCACTGCTCTCTCCCCTCATGGAGTGGGGCTCCTCCAGCCCTAGTCTTCCCAGAATTTGCTCCTGCCTTCTTTTGAGAAGGATTTAAAATTCCAGGTGCCTTAACATCTTCAGATAGCTTTCAAAATAATTTCTCAAGGTCAGTTGTTTTTAGATGAGATGCCACAGACTTCCAGCTTTTCTCCCCGGGGAGGGTGGGCAGGCCCTGGCCCAGGTGCCCAGAGCAGCTGTGGCTGCCCCTGGATCCCTGGGAATATCCCAGGCCAGGCTGGACAGGGCTTGGAGCAGCCTGGGACAGTGGAAGGTGTCCCTGCCCTTGGCAGGGGGAGGAACTGGACGGGCCTTGAGGTCCCTGTAACACAAAGCATTCCAGGATTCTGGAATTCCAAAGGAAAGCACTCTCTTCCCAGATGGGCCAGCAGGGTCCTCCCAGGCACACCAAGGTGCTCAGTGTGACCTTGGGGGCTCAGGGGGAGCCATGATTCACGTCCATCTCAGACAAAATGCAGAACTAAACACTTTGCAAATGCAAATGTTTGTGTTTTCCTTTCCCTCTGTGTAAAGCCATGGGATCATAGAAGAATTGAATGGTTTGGATTGGAAGGAACCTTGAAGATACTGGTACTGCAACCCCTGCCATGGCAGGGACACCTTCCACTGCCCCAGGCTGCTCCCAGCCCCATCCACCCTGGCCTTGGGCACTGCCAGGGATCCAGGGGCAGCCACAGCTGCTCTGGGCACCCTGGGCCAGGGCCTGCCCACCCTCCCAGCCACCAATTCCTGCCCAACATCCCAAAATGTGTGCCTGCCCTGTGGCAGTGCAGCCATGGCCTGTGTGCTGTCCCTGCAGGCCTTGTCCCCAGTGCCTGGGCAGCTCTCCTGGAGCCCCTGCAGGCCCTGGCAGGGGCTCTCAGGTGTCCCTGCAGCCTTCTCTTGTGCAGGGGAGCAGCCCCAGCTGTGCCAGGCTGGCTCCAGAGCAGAGGGGCTCCAGCCCTGGCAGGGGCTCTGAGCTCTCCCTTTCGGCGCCGCCGCTCCGAGCTCCCCTCAGCCTCCCCGCCCTTCCCGGCCCGGGGTCGGGGCACGCGGGACAGGCCATGGCTCCGCCGGGGACACGGGGACACCGGGATGGGCTGGGGGGGCCCGGCCCCGCTCCCGACCCGCCCCAGCCCCCGGCCAGGCTGGCTCCCCGGCCCTGCTCCGGCCCTGCTCCGGCCCGTTCCGCTCCGGCCTTACCTCGGCGGGCGGCGGCGGGGCCGGCGGGGCGGGCCGGGAGCAGAGCCCGCCCTGCGTGAGGGAGCCGCGCCCGGAGCGAGCGTGTGGGCAGGGCCGGGGCACGGAGCTGCTCCGGCAGGACAGCCCTGGGATCAGCCCATGGCAGGAGGTGACACTGGATGGTCATTTAGATTCCCTTCCAACTCAAACCATCCTCTGATTCCATGATTCTAGGAAAAGACCGTAAAGATCATCACATCCAACCACTTACAGAGCCCCTTGGCAAAGGGTCTGTTCCCAGTCCTGAACAGATCAAGCTTTTTAGCTTTTTTTTTTTTTCTTCTTTCTTTTCAGAATAAAAACCATCAGGTACGACTTAGGCAAAGGGAATGCATTTTACTAAGAAAATAGAAGACTAGAACACACATTTCAATAGAGTTACAACGTTATAAAGTAGGAAGAAACCCCAACCACTTCACATTTTACATACAGTTTTAGTTTCAGCTGAGCAATGACCCTCCCAGGCACAGCCAACCCCGCACAGATCAGGCTGGAACTGTTCTCACAAGCGCCCCAGCAGGCTCACACTGATTTGCATAAGGTAGATATGTTTAATACAGAAATAAACGCAGATTATTTTGCTGTTGTGTTGACAAGGCAGCCATCTTCAGTCCTAGGAGTGTTTTTATTCCACAAGGAAGGGTCTGGTTGATGAACGGATGAGCCGAGGCCGGTGGCACGTGGAGAGCTGAGCTCAGGCTGGCGCCAGCCCCTCGTGTCTGGGGCAGGCAGGTACACACGGAGTCAGTCAGATGTGCCTCCAGCAGCAGCAGCTGAAGGGCTTTGCCCAAATTCAGCTGCCGAGCCAGCGCGGCAGAGCTGGGCTCTGGGTTTGCTCCACCAGTCCGTGCCCGCCAGCCGAGGTGTGACAGAGCAGGGCAGCACCCGCATCGTCCCGAGAGCAGAAACCACAGCGGAGCATCCAGCTGGAAGCACGGGCAGTGAGACAGCCAGGTGGTTCTCACACTGCTCTGAGAGCTGCACACAGCTCTGCGGGGCCACAGAGGAGCTCAGGTGTGCGGGATGGCAGAGGAGGAGCTCAGCTCTGTGGCACTGCAGAGGAGCTCAGCTCTGCGGGGCCACAGAGGAGCTCAGCTCTGCGGGGCCACAGAGGAGCTCAGCTCTGCAGGATGGCAGAGCTCAGCCCTGTAGGACCACCGAGGAGCTCAGCTCTGTGGGGCCACAGAGGAGCTCAGCTGTGCCCCTCTGCAGCCAGCCCAGCAAACAAAACCAGCCGGGACTGCCGCGCCGGAGTCAGCTGAACTGAAACCTGGGTGGGAGCTGTACAATAGTGATCCCCACTCTCCCACAGGAACAGTCACCACGGAGGGAGGGCTGCTGAAGATTGAAACTAAAAGGTGTATCGTTCATCTCGGCAGGTACTACCAGAGGAGTGTGACAGAGTTACTTTATCCCCGTAAAACAGCGTGCTGGAAACAACAGTACAAGAGGAAGACACGCACCGACCACAGGAAACCTGTTACACACCACTCTGCAGGTAAAGTGTCACTTGGTTTGAAGCTTGGAAAACAAACACAACAGATCAGGATGCATCACTGTCCACAAACGTAACCAGAACTTGTGCCACACCGGGGGTTTAAAATGTATCAGACACAGCATTTCAATCGTCTCCTTCTGCAGGTCAGGTTGGCACCTGGGCAGAGGCTTCAGGAACACACAAACCCTTGCAACACCTTTAACAAAACCACAGGTATTTTATAAAGAAAGGCTGTGCTCCATTAGATAACTTTACTCTCTCCTAAACACCCCTACAGGTTGCTGCCAGGAGGCTCAGTCCTGCTCCTGCTGATTTTAAGGAAGCAAGGATTGGACAAATCCTGGAAAAGACTGACCTCAGTGAAGTTCCTGATCCTCCCAGAAGGGTTCTGCACACCCCAAGGAGACGTGGAAGACAGTCTTTTATAAAACCATTTGGAGGGCAAGTCACGGGGGCTGTGTGACAAGCTACAACGCGGGTGGTCCTTTAGGTGATGTACTGTTTTAACTTACACTATGTAACATGACAAAATGCATCCTGGTGACACCTGTTTCCCTTTGCATACTGTCTAAGAGAATTTTCTGTACAGAGAAAGACCAGTATATATTTTGAATAAACCAGCAAACAGAAAAAATCATGTTAAGTAGAATATGAAAAAGGAAACTGGTTCCTTAGTAGCCAGCAATATTAGCAGTTGTAATTAGTTAAGGATTAATTGTACCTGAAGGAAAACTGAACATGAATCTATGTATCTTAAAATCCTATGTATGAATAAAAAAAAAATTCTGGAGAAGATGAAAGAGAGAGTGAAATGGACTTAGAACTCTGTGAGCTGACAGGTTACCTGTTGCCAGCAGGAAACAACGGCTGCACATGGAAGGGAAAATATCCTGTCCATGATGTAAGCTGCAGAGGACCCAGAGGCTGGCAGACAGAGCCCAGGAGGTGTGCCTGGCCCAGCTCCGGGGACAGCTGTGACAGGGGACAGAGCCAGCCACAGCCCGGGCTGCTCCTCTCTCAGGGACTGCTTTTCCCTCACCTCCGCAGCGGGATTTCCACAGGGATCACTGTGCTGGAGCGTTAGCGCTCGGGAAAATCCCGCTGCCAGGGCTGGGAAAATGCAGTCCTTGCCGGCACAGGCTGGGAGAGCAGGGCATTTCTGTCACCCATCTGTCTAAGAGGCTGCTGGCAGCAGGGAGGAAGCGTGTGTTCCCAGCACTCGGAACCCAGTGATGCAGAACTCCGCTGGCACAACGCAACAGGCTTCAGAGAGAAGGCAAAAATAATTCATACACTGAATAAATAATTTCTCTTTCAGCGAGACCGCTAATTTAAATACGATACAAACAAGGCATAGCAAAAATAGATGAAAAAAGCACTTTTTGTAAAAACGTCCAGTGTGTGTGTTGGTGTCTTTTGTGCATTCACTTGCAAGTGCAAGCTCGTGCCCACGTGCACGCCAGCACTCGGCAGTGAAGCACTTCGAGCCCCAGCACACAACACTTTACCACAGCTTGAACACCACAGGTTTTTCCCCACGTCACTCTTTTCTGTGTTTGTATAATCAGTCTTCTTTCCCCACACAGGCAGCACCTTCCCAAAGCTTACTGTTCTTTGTGTGAGGGCAATTTTAGAGCCAGAGATTAGGCTGTGGGCGCCTGAGGGGGCATTGAGACCACGTTCCCTGCTCTGTTCTGGCCTGTTCTGTGGAGACTGCATTTTCCTGTGTGACTGAGGGTAGGAGAGCAGTGCTTGCCATGGGAGCAAGCCCTGCTTTATCTCTTTGGATGGTGTCTGCCAGCACAGCACTGCTGGCACATCCAGTGTTTATCCACTCCTGCCCCTTTCCTGCAGCAAACTGGGGCAGCCTGGTGCCTTTATTTCTGTCCTGGCAGGTGGCTGTTGTGGCTGCAGGGAGCAGCCACAGGCTGTGGCCACCACTGGGTGTCCCTGCCTGTCCCCACGGAGTGACCGGGGCCCTTCTGTCTCACTCCAAGGCAGCTGGGGGAGTGTACACTGTGGATCTGCAGCAAACATCCAGCACTACCCTGGCGAGGAAAGACTCACTGGGAATTCTGCTTTCACACCAGGGCTCTGACCAACCAGGGCTGTAGGTGCAGCAGGCTGGAGCGGTCAGCACAGGGCTTGCAGAGCTGCATCTTGTGGGTCCAGCTGCCACGCTGAGCTGGGCACAGCACTGAGACCCCAGCAGGCATTCAGCCAGACTCGTGTGAGCAGCTGCCTGGCAGCAGCCCTGCTCCAGCCCCAGCAGCTGCCCACGGGTGCTCCAGGTGAGCCCACTTCGGAGTCAGCAGCGTCATAAAACATCGCACACGAGTCTTTTTGTGAGAGCAAGGGAGCAAAACAACCTGGCTTAGACAAAACAGAATCTCGAAAAAAATTAAAATAATTAGGTAAAGATCCTTTGGTACATCATATTGCAGTCCATTGCTTAAAATCTCCTAGTAAAATCTCTAAAAATATTTCCATAAATTACTTCAGGTCCTACCTCTACCCAATAAAATTTATTCTGTGACAGCATGGCTTTGTTTTTAAAAGCTGTTAAGTGATTAGTATTATTTTCAGGCTTCCCAAGGACAATTTGAACTAGCTCACGTTTTTCCTGAGAACAGATTTCACGGAGTGATGAGCACAAAGCTGCAAACTTTGCTGCAGACTCCACACGTGTACATCTCGCTGCTCCTCGAGGAAACAGCAGCCAGTGCCACCAGGATGTCTGGACATGGGCATCTTTGAACATTAAACAAAACAGAAGGCCCATCACACTCTCCAAGGTGTCTTTAACTGCCCTTTTGTTTTTTCTACAAGTGGTCTCCTTTGATGTCACAGCTAATGCAGTGTGACTACGCTAGGGCAATTAGAAGACTGATTATTAAAGGCAGAAATGAATCATTCTGGAGATCAGCAGTGATGAGAGAGCTGGAGTTCATCATGAAACAGATGTAGCTAAAGTATCATTAATGGAATTCTTCAGCGTGGTGCTGGCTCTGAGCTAGAAATGCCATGTTATTGTTTAAATTAATTTTGGAGGGCTCTCTCATCCCTGTGGCAGATGTTATCATCCGTACAGTTTACCAGGTACTTGGGAGAAATCAGGTGAAAAACGGGGTGTAAGGAGGGGGGAAAAACAAAAAAAAAGGCAACGAAAGGAGCGCAAATAAATTAGAGGAGTGAGAGCTCATGATTAGAGTTGGTCTGAGGAAGGGATCCCTGCAGAGTGGCGGCGCTGCCTGCGAGCGGGCGCGGGGCTGTCAGTGCACCTTGGACTCGGGCCAGTCGTACACGTCCGGCATGAAGGACTCGTACTCGTAGGTCCAGACCTTGGAGCGGATGTAGCGGCTCTTGTCGGCCGGCTCGGGGTAGTGGAAGGCCATGTTGTTGGCGTAGAGGAACTCCATCACCTGCGGGGACAGCCCGCTCTGAGCCGGGGCAGCGCGCGCTCCCGCCGCTGCTGGGCAGGGAACGGGCCCTCCTCGGGACAGAAAAGCTGGCTGGCAGCCAGCAAGAAGCAGAAAAGCTGCTGGCAGACACGGGGCGTCAAGCCGGGTAAATGATGCTTACAGCTTCTACCAGTTAGATTAGTCAAAAGATGCCTGCTTGCCCTGTGGGCAAAGCAGAGCGACCAGTCAGGGGATGCATGGGCAAAGCAGAGCTGCCAAACAATGTACAGACAAAGGAGAGCTACCAAAAAATGTACAGACAAAGGAGAGCTACCAAAAAATGTACAGACAATGTAGTGCTACCACAAAATGTAGGACAAAGCAGAGCTACCAAAAAATGTACAGACAAAGCAGAGCTACCAAACAAACAATGCATGGGCAAAGCAGAGCTACCAAACAGTGCATGGGCAAAGCAGAGCTACCAAACAAACAATGCATGGACAAAGCAGAGCTGCCAAACAATGTACAGACAAAGCAGAGCTACCAAAAAATGTACAGACAAAGCAGGGCTGCCAACCAAACAATGCATGGGCAAAGCAGAGCTACCAAACAATGCATGGGCAAAGCAGAGTTACCAAACAATGCATGGGCAAAGCAGAGCTACCAATCAAACAATGTATGACTGTGTAGACCAAGGTGAGAAGTAAATATAAACAATGTTTAGAAGCACAATAAATGGCTTTTGCTTAATTCACATTGAATCTGCAGAGTCCTTTGTCTTCTCTCCTCAGCACCTCAGTGTCTTTACAGCCACAGATGCCTTAGCTGGGATCTCAAAACTGCATTTCAAGAATCAGAGGGGAGTAATTTTGGCCCATCGTGGCTGCCAAGCTGAAGCAACCAACAAAAGGAACATTTTTATCCCCTTCTCTTATTGCAGGCACAAAGAACCAGGTGCTGCCCAAGCACCTCATATTCAAGGGTCACTGTGCAACTCAGCAGGTTAATGTACACACAAACCATTGTTAGTGCAGTGCAATTTTATATTTCATACTCACCTTGATAGCAATGTAAATAGAAACTTCCCTGATATTGGACAGTGGAGGATAAAGTCTTCCTTGTGCAAGCTCTTCGTCTGTCAACTGTTCTGCCAATGCCTGAGTCAGAGGAATGAACACTTTTTATTTGCTGCACCCCAAATGTGACTAATAACGTGCCAGACACCTGAGAGAACCAAGCTGCAGTGCTCTCAGCACCAGAGTGCTCCCAAAGCACTGGAGTGAGGCACTCAGGATCTGAGGAGCTGACAATCAGCACACTGCAAGCATTTAGCAAAATGAGCTGTGGTACTCTGGGAGATGGATCCCCCACAGCCACAGAAACTCCTGGGCACAGAGCCTGCTGCAGAACCCAGGGCAGGGCAGGGCAGGGGACAGCCCTGCTGCCACAGCAATTCACACAGGGACACACTTCCTGCTTCATCACAACTGCCATGGAACCTCATTCTTGGCACAGCTTTGTCTGCTCTTTCCCCACTGTGGAGGGACAAGCCAACAGAAACCAAACAGGAAACCACTGTGGATTTGACAAAAGTGCCCATCAAGCCATCCCTGCCGTGTCAGAAGGCACAGCCTGCTCTGCTCCCAGACTCACCTTGGCAGCCTCCAGGAAAACCTTGTCGCTGATGTGCCGCACGCTGCTGAGGATCACAGCCAGAGCCACTCCTGCAAGGAAACCACTGCCAGTCAGGGCCACGTCTCTTCAAAGCTGCTGCCAGAGCTGCCAGCGTTATCCCTGAAACCTTCCTGCCGCTTTCTGCACACGCTGACAGAGCCATGGCACGGCTGGGGCTGGAGATCGTCATGCCAGCCCCTGCTGGCAGGGACACCTTCCACAGCTCTGCTGAAACCTTCCTGCCGCTTTCTGCACACGCTGACAGAGCCATGGCACGGCTGGGGCTGGAGATCGTCATGCCAGCCCCTGCTCTACTCCCAGGGGAGCAGCCACTGGCACGGCAGGAGCCTTCCAGAAAGGGTTGAGTTTTGCAGCCCAGGGAGGGAAGGGGAAGGCGCAGGAGCATCCCCAGTGCTACTTTTCTAACCCCCTTGTGCTGATCCAACTTCAAGAACTATTAACTCTGAGAGTTATGAACAAAACTCCAAGTTCATATTAACATCAATTTTCTCCTTTCCTCCCCAAACAAGCAGCAGAACCACAATGCAGCAGCTCCCAAAGCCTTTGTAACACCCTTCTGTTTTCTCAGTGACATCCAGCTGGGTTTGCTCACTGTGGATGCCCCACATCCTGCCTGAACTGACTGTCATCCAGCCACTCATTTCTCCAAGCTCTCAAATGCTGGCAACACCTCTGTGTGCTGCTTCACTAACTGTGCCTCCTGCAGCAAGGGAGCCAAAGGAACGGTGCAGGCAGCCCCGTCTCAGAGATTAAAGGGTGATTAAAGTTTCATTCATTACCTGGAAAGATGTAAGCGTTGTTTCCTTGTCCCGGTTTGAAGGTCCTCCCATCCTTCAGAGTGACCAGCTCGAAGGGGCTGCCGCTGGCAAACAGGCACCGGCCCTGGCGGGAGGCAGGCAGCAAGGGAGAAAGGGTCAGGGCTGGAGCTGGGCAGGGACAGAGCCTGGAGCTGCCACCAGAGCCAGGGGACACCGGGGGACAGGGGCACGGATCACCCTGCTTGGAGGGACTAACACAAGCCCTGGTGTGTTAACCCTCACCAGCACCACAGGGACCCTGCAGACTCAAGAGTGATGGCCACTGCCATGGCTGGAGCACAAGTGGGACTAAAAGGTCACTTTCTTACTGGAGGGTGGGAGGAGATGCTGTGCCAGACTGCTGCTGCTGAGAGCAGAGCAGTGAACAATGTGGTTTGCTTAGCCTTCCTTTGGAAAGGATTTCAATTTGCACTAAATATCAAAACGTATCTGAGCGTGATAAATGATAGATAAATGACCCTCTCCTCAAGCAGTAAAGCCACAGTAAGCAAAAAAATCTTGACTTTCTTTTGAGTAATATGTTTAGGAATATGAGTTTACAACTTTTAAGGCTCCCCAGGATTAGTGTTTGAAAACAAATTGCCAGAGAGGCTGAAGGCTCTGGAGCTGTGTTTGGATGTCAGGCACAGCCACGACCAGAGCCTTTTTGTGGAGGGAGCAAAGCAGATGGGCTCAGGAGAGGACAGGACCAAAGGACAAAGGAAACTGAAAGGCAGCAGCAGCCCTCAGAACACACAGGGGCATTGAAGGCTTTTACAGGTGCCATCTAGTGGGAAAAAACGAGGCAGGAAAGGTTGGCGGTGGTGCCTTTGTTCCTTTGTTGCCTTGGATCAGGCTGTCCCCAGGCCTGGGGACACGCGGGGTGACAGCTCTGATCCCTAACAGCCTGACAAACGGGACACGGCCAGTGAAGCTGGGGATTTCCACAGAAACACACAACAGGCAGGGCTCTGGAGTCCATCTCCTAGGTAATTCCTGCATCCTGAGGGAAAACACATTTTGAAGGGCAAGCTGATGTCCAGCTGAGGGCATTTCAGAGAAGCAAAGAACGTGGTGAAAACAAACAGCTGGGCTGCAGGGAAGTTTAAAGAGACATAAACACTGCAGGATTTATGAGTAAGGACTGGAACAAAACTACACCAGTTCATTTACTGACCAGCAGTGCTCAATTGTCCAAATAACCCACGCCTACGAGTAACTGGGAACACAGAAAATCATTAATAAAAGAAAAAATGGATCCAATACAGGGAAAAACCCAAAGATCTCCTCTCCACTGGGCTCAAACTTTGCAAACAGCGTTGTGCTCTTCCTGTGGGGCAGATGCCACCACGCCTGACCCCAGGGAGCCTCTGTCCCTGCAGGGACAGCCAGGCTGAGGGCCAGCTCCTTGGGGCTCAGCACACAGCAATGGCAAACTCAGCCTCCTGCCTTAAAACATCTCTTCATCTGATGGTATTCCATAAGGGGTGCAAGCAAAAACTAGGCTGGTTCCCCCTCCAACTGTGCTCCTGGCCTCCTTCAGCTAGAGATGGCAGCAGTTTTTACATTTATTTATGCCAGCTGAAGCCTTGGTTGCACAACCACCTCCTGTTTACCTTCTATCCAAGATACTGGAATTTATACACTGAAACACTGCCCAGCTCACTGTTCTGCTTAATGCAAGGTATATGAGAGATAACTAATTTAATTTAAAACTGTGTCCAGAGCAGAGGGCTGGGAAGGGGCTGGAGCCCCAGGAGAGGCTGAGGGAGCTGGGAAGGGGCTGAGCCTGGAGCAAAGGAGGCTCAGGGGGACCTTGTGGCTCTGCACAGCTCCTGACAGGAGGGGACAGCCGGGGGGTCGGGCTGTGCTCCAGGGAACAGGGACAGGAGCAGAGGGAACGGCCAGGGGAGGTTCAGGGTGGATATCAGGGAAAATATCTTCACCTAAAGGTCTCTCAATCCCTGGCAGAGCTGCCCAGGGCAGTGAGGCAGTCCCCATCCCTGGAAGGGTTTGAAAGCCATGTGCATGTGGCACACAGGGACAAGGGACAGCGGTGGCCTTGGCAGAGCTGGGCAATGGTTGGACTCGATGGCCTTGGAGGGCTGTTCCAGCCCAGATCATCCCACTGATAAGAGATAAGACCCAGACTTTGCCCAGAGGCTGCAGCTCCAGGGCTCCCCCTGAGCAGCAGCTCCCTGAGCTGCCAGCCCCAGGAATGTGGGACAGAGCCCGGGTGCCAGATGGGGACAGTGGAGTGCCACCCTGGCACGGTGACACTGCCACTGCTGGGGCCGTGATGCTGAGCAGTGCAAGGGGGGAGCTCAGCCTGCAGCAGGACACAAGGAAAGGTCCCACCCACCCATCTTCACACACCAGCCACTTGATTTGGGACTGTGTGAAATGAAGGGAAACAGAAAAGAATGAGTCCTCCCAGGATCCACAGCCCTGGGGCCTGCAGGCAGGGGCTGAGGCCAGCACAGAGCCCCAGCAGCTGCAGGAGAGCAGCACAGAGACCCCAGCAGCTGCAGGAGAGGCACCAGGAGCTGCTCAGAGCCCTGGGCCCTGCTGTGGCTGCCCCACCTCCCTCCCCTCCCCACCAGCCTGGCACAAGAACCTGTGCAGAGTGACAGAAGAGTGGCTTCATAAAGGCAAAACCACGGCCAGGACGTGCTATCAGGATAATGGTGGAGCTGTTAAGGAGAAACCAGCCCAAACCCTGAGTGCCAGGGGTGCAGAGGCCCTGGGGAGGGTGCAGAACCAGGTGTGTTTGCTCCTGGCTGACTCATTGCAATGCCTGGTGGTGCCAGGGTGAGCTGTGGCAGGGACAGGGGCCACCCCTGCCTGGGGACACAAAGGGACAGAGGCCACCCCTGCCCGGGGAGCACAGGGCCCCGGGGGTCACTGCTGGTGGCACCTGCAGGACGGTGCAAGCCCAGCTCCTGCCCTGCTGCGAGGGCATCACCTGCTCCAGGGACACCCTCAGCCATGACATTGCAAAGCTTGCACTGAGTCTGCTGCGAGGCCAACAGGCTGCATAAAACACAAAATAACTAAAAAGAGCGGTGAGAAACAAGGGCTCACTGATCACAGCCATGTCACAGTACTGCTGGTCGCTCTCTCTAAAAAGCAGTAACAAGATTCAGGCTGTTTGAAGCTTTGCAGAACGTTGTCACCTGAACACCCAGACGCTTTTCCAACCACGCCCATTTCCTTTAGCCGGGAGGAGAGGCAGAGCTGCGTTCCCACACCACGGGGCCCGAGGAACACGAGAGCAGCCCCAGCAGCCCCAGCAGCCGGGCTCACACACCTCTGTCACCGTGTAGGCCTCCTCTGCCGTGCACTCGGCCTTCACCGTGGGGTTGCTCAGTGCAAAGATGATGGGTCGCTCGTTGATGGAAGCCATGGCTTTCAGCACCTCCTGGGTGAAGAGACGCCCTGCCCCAGCCACTCCTGGGCGAGAGGGGAACACACAAAACCACAATCAAGGCTGGCTGCCCCCGGCAGGGACAGCAACCCCACCCCGAGCTCACGGCAGCCCTGCAGCCTCCCCCAGGGCAAAGCTCCTCTGGCACTGCTCCACTCACACCTGCCACAGCAACGTCTGCTGAGTGTGCTCCAGGAGCCTACTTCACTCTGCTTTTGGGTACTGATGAGTAGAAGGAACACGGTCCTGGACAAGTGGGAATTCCAGGTGCTCTGTGGATGATTCATCCCTGCTGGGTGCTAGCTGTGCAGTGCACACCTGACACCGGGGCTCCTGACCAAACACAAACACACAGCTAGGATGTGTTTGTACAGTGGCTGCAAGCTCCAGGGTACCCTGCCAAAAATCCCTCTCCTTTTCCAAATAAACCACGTGCCAAGGAAACTGCAGTCACTCCAGGAAATACCTGTGATCCTGTCTGCTCTCTGCAGATAGCACAGCTGTAAATAAGTACCTACAGCTGTCAGTGACCTCGGAGGTGCTGCTGAGCTGCAGCAGGGAGCTGCTGCTTCCAGCCGTGCTGCTGGCAGAGCCTGACCACAGCGGGACAGAAGGTCACAAAACACCCAAACAACTCGAGTTGGGGTGTAGAAAACACGTTTTCTAACTGTATAAAACACGGTGGTTGTGGCTGCTCTCTGTCACTAAGGGCACACGGCTCAGAAGGAGCACAGTGTGTTTTCAAGTAGAAAACTGACCTCCCATTTCCATCTTATTTACACCAGCAGACAGCTGTCACCAAGCTTCCCAGAGCCCTGACAGCAAATTAAAGGCAGTAAAAAGACAAATTGTAGCAAAATAAGCTCACTACTCACCGATGATAGCTGAAGGCTGAAGTACATTCACTGCCTCTACAAATGTCTTTGGTATCTGCTCTGGAGCCGGGTGTGTGAATGGCTCTTGGTGGGCATCCACCTTCTGCTCTCGGCCCTGCAGCAACACAGTGGTTCCTCCTGTGAGGGGAGGGGAGGCAGTGCTCACCTGTGCTGGCATCCCGGGTGTGCTGCAGCCCTACCTGGACCAGCAAGCCATGCTTGTCAAACATCCACACTCTCCTGGAGGCCTCCTCCTGGGAAACACCGCCTTCCACCATGGCCATGACAATGAGGTTGGCAATTCCCAGGGCGGCCTGCCGGATGAAAGGACTCGGCTTTGGGACAGGTCACAGCAGAGGTCTGCCATCAAACCCCCCAGAACCCCTCAGAGAGCCTGCTCTGGGACAGCAGTGACACAGGGCAGCTCTGCCAGGCGCTGTGCCAGCTCAGCAGCCACGCCGGGGCAGCCCGGCCCTGCAGGGACACAAGTGCTCGGCCCTCCTGCCACCCAACCAGCCCGTGCTGTGTGCCCTGTGCTGCCAGCCTGCCCTCCTGCCCGAGGCAGGGCTGGCAGAGGGCAGCAGGAGGCCGTGCTGGCCCTGTCCCCTCCCTGCCAGGAGGAATGAGGCACAGCAGGGCTCAATTACTGCCACCAGGGCCATTCCCAGACGGAGAACTTCTCGGATAATTAAGTCATTTTGTCAGCACCATAGGAGCAATTGTGCTGATGCACCAGAAGCACAGGGCTGCTCCTGGCACTGCAGCACCAGCCTGCTGCAAACTGAATCACCTTGCTGAGAAAAACTCCCTGTGCTTCCCTCCGGTGCTACAAAAATCAACGAGGTGGTCTCACTACACCATGATTTTATGGTGAGTTTCCCTTCAAACACACACAAGTCCCTGGTGCTTTTCTCAAAGCCTTGCAGGGAAATGAAGAATGTGAGTCCCTGCAAATGTTAAACACCTTTCACACAGCCCTGTTTAAGCAGAGTCCTTTCTGCTAATGCATTTCAGCTGGCCTTATATGAAAAGCTCTGCAGTGGAGCTCAGATCATATCTCCACAAGGAGAAAATACACAAAGGCAAATCTCCACAATGAGAAAATACCCATGTAAAATATCTCTTGCTGCTCTGGGCCCTTAGGAGGACTCACCTCTCCTGCTCCAAGGAACAGCACTTTCTGCTCTGTGAGTGGTTTCCCAGTGGCTTTCTGGGCTGCCAGCAGTCCTGCCAAGGCCACCGAGGCTGTCCCTGCGAGAGCAGAGAAATCTGAGGGCAGCTGAACACGTCCCCAGGGCAGGGAATGGCTTTGGGAAGAGCTCCTGCACAGATACTCAGGAACACAAACCAAGGTGTACCTTGGATGTCGTCGTTGAAGGTACAGTACTTCTCCCTGTACTTCCTCAGGAACCGGAACGCATTGTGGTTGCCAAAGTCTTCAAACTGGATGAGCGTGTTCTGGCCATACCTACGGAGATGCAATCCCTGTCAGAACCAAGGACACCCCTCTGGGTGCCCTGGGCGACACGTGCCCCTGGCAGGAGGCCAAAGACACTTGGGATTTCCATCTGAACCCATGCAGCAAATCACCAACCTTGTGTGAAGAGTCACAAGGCACAGAAGTTTTACTAATAATGAATTAATCACAGGGTGAAAAGTGGAATTTTGGGGATTTTACTATAGGGGTCTAGGAGGCATGATGGAGGGACATGGGCGTTGTCCTTCTTCCTTCTTCTTCCCAGCCTCCATCTTCTGGGTGATGCTGGCACTTTTGGATTGGTTTAGATAGAAGCAGAGAGTCTAACAGAGGTGATAGGTATTGGAAAATTATGATAAATAAACTATATGTAATTCATAGTATAAAATGTGGGCACCAGCCCGGGGACAGGCAGTGTGCCCTTGACAGACCTGATGGACAGAGCTCTGTGGGTCCAAAAAAGAATGTTTTAGATATGAGACAATAAATAACCTTGTGAACCAGAGCTGAAGAACTCCGATTCTTTCTTTCTATAGGCATGGGAAAAAGGGACTCGGGGTCATCCTGACTGCAGGGAATTCGAGATACCCCCATGAGAGGCAGAGGAGAGCAGCAGAAGCACCTCAGCCCTTCTATCTGTGGCAGCAGGCTGTGCTCAGCAGAGCCCAGCAGCCCTGCCTCTGTTCTGTGCCTCGCTGCAGATAACGACAGGCAGCGCGCTCTGGGTCACTCCAGGGACAGACACACGGCCTGCCCCAGCTCCTGGGGCTTTCCTCACGCCTGGGACAGCACTGCTGTGTGCCAGCAGAGCCCCACCTGTCAGTGATGGCTTCCATGAACTCATCGATCAGGTCATCGTAGACCTGCGAGCGATCCCGCTTCTGGTACAGCCCCATGTAGAAGGGATCCTTCAGGAGTGTCTGCAGGAGAACACACAGAGGGAGCAGCAGGGTGAGTCCCTCCCCAGGGCACAGGGGCTCATTTCACACCAGAGAACACACAGAGGGAGCAGCAGGGTGAGTCCCTCCCCAGGGCACAGGGGCTCATTTCACACCAGAGGTGCTGCAGTCGTACAGCCCTGGCCCACACCAGTGCTCTGTAATTGCAGCTGGCACTCGGGGCTGGAGGTGGCTGCTTTTAAACAGAACTCATCAATACTGTGAACAATAAGCTGCTTTAATGAATCTAATTCCCATTTCCAGCTTCTTAAAAGCCAGGTCAAAACTGACTGCCTATTTTGCAGCGTTCCAGCATTCCAATTACTTCCAGATGCAGCCTTTCATGGACAAATCAAGGGGCACTTTTAAATCCCTGTACAGTGAATTCCAAACCTTTTACCCTTTGCATAAAATATTCGGGTTTATCTTAAATAACAGTGCTCAAAAAAAAAGAAAAACTCTCTTACAGTATGGAGTGTTTTTTAAAAAAAAACATTTTTACAGGGGTAACTCACTGTGTTATCAGTCCCCACGTCGATGCACACAGGCAGGCATTTATCTGGGTGTATCCCTGCACAGGCTGTGTACAAACACAGCTTTCCCACTGGAATTCCCATCCCATACACCCCCAGGTCTCCAAGACCCAATATTCTTTCTCCATCAGTGACGACAACAGCCTGATGAAAAAAAACAAACAAAAAAAAACCAGGTCAAATCATACACGATCACCGAAATTTATAAAGATTAGATCAATAGCAGCTGTGTTTTTTTCCCAGGCAAAAACTGAGGTATGTTTGCACAGTCAGACAAAGAACAGATCATGAGGAATATTTTCCTCAACCCATAAACCTGACATTTGGGATGCAACACTGATCTTCAAGATGTGCATTACCTTAATGGGCTGCATTCTGCCATCAGCACCAAAGAGCCAAGAATGCACTACTCAATATTTATGTTTCCATCAAATTCTAGTAAATCTTAAAAGACTCAGCTGAGATGCAATAACAACTAGAAACTAAATGACACTGTGACAGTACCTTAACGTCGTTCTCTGGCCAGTTGTTCACAATTGACCTTATGTGGCCTCTGTCTGAGATGGAAATAAATAATCCCCTGGAAGAAAAAAAAAAAAACAATTAAAAAAAAACCACTAACCAGAAATATTTTGTGGGCACAAAAAAAAACCCACTAACCAGAAATATTTTGTGGACGACAATTAGAAATTTCACCTTGCTTTTGTAAAACTAAATGCCAAACAGGACAACTTAAAATTCAAAGTTTTACAGCCACTGATATGAATTGCTCAAAGGACAAAATCTGATCCTGCTTGGGGCAGGGACCTGAGGAATCACCTGAATCACCCCTCTTGTGCAGGGTGACAGTGATGGCCTGAGGAACCCCCTGAGCCAGCCCAGCTCTGCCCAGTGACAGTGATGGCCTGAGGAACCCTCTGAGCCAGCCCTGCTGTGCAAGGTGAGGTTGATTAGGCAGAAATCCCTTTCTAACGGAGTAATCCCTAGGTGGTTAGTCCATAAATCCCTTTCAATCTACACTCCCTTGCAGAGGCCCTGTCCTGACAGAGATCCTCAGAGCCACAGTAGGGACTCTGGTAGCTGGGGAAATCCCCTCTGGAATTACAGAGCTGTTGGCATCTAGGAAGAGCTGGGAATGGGTCTGAAGCCCTGCACCTGGAGTATTTACATGACCCATCTACACATCTGCTTCCAAATGTTTTGTTTCTCACTATAAACCGTGTCCTGATACATATTTTAACAAACCTTTACTGCCCTTACGTGGCACAAGCCTCCTGTAGCTGCACCCGGGTGAAGATGACACAAACCACTTCCAAACTCAGGCAAGAGGGCAGGGAAAAGGGCAGTAACAGCAGCAGCAAGGCGTGTTTGTGCCCTTACTTTGGTCTCCTGAAGATGTGTCCGTACTGGGAGCAGGCCAGGCCCACGGTTGGAGTGTACACAATGGGCATTAACCGCTCAATATCGTCCTGCAGCACCCTGTAGAACAGCTTCTCGTTTCTCTCCTGGATCCCCATGATGTAGATATACCTGTAAGCAACCAGCACAAGGAAAACACCATTGCTGTCTGCTGCTGCTCCCTCAGGAGAGCCCCCTCCCCTGAAGCCAGGCTGGGAGCACCAAAGGCAAGCTGGGGAAGAGAGCAGCGTGAGAAGGTGAGATGGAAATGCTGCACGGGACAGGCCCTGTGTGCTGACAAGGTAATCGTGGCAAATGGGACTAAATCTGATCCAGGGATTCACTGCAGGGTGCAGCAGGGACTCCCGGCACCCTTGCAAACAGAATTTCCCACCCAGAAAATGTGTGTGGTGAATCCCAGCACCAACACACACGTGCAGCAAGCCGAGCCCCACCAGAAGGGTGCCTGAACTGAATCTGAATTTCTGCAAATTTACCCACCAGTTTACTGTGTACCAACCCACACCCAGGGCTGCTGACCCAAGGACACAAAGATAATGAATTAGCAATCTGCCTTGGGCTACAGCAACTGGGCACTCGGCCAGTACAGGTGACACGACTGTTGTGGACCAGCAAGTGTGGATTTAAGAGCCACCTTTCAGTTCTGATGAGAACAAAAGAGCTTTGGTGGGCCCAGCGAGCCCCAAGCCATTCCAGTTCTCCTCCTGCCTGCAGGAAACTGTGTGTTTTCACGGGCAGAGATACACAAAGATTATGTGAAAACATAACGAGATGCTAAATCATGGCATCTCAAAAATAAAACACAGCAAAATCCTTTGCAGTTCACCAAACCAGTGGGTTAAGCAATAAAAGATATTAAAAAATACACATGATGAGATTTAAAATTCTGCTCTCGTAGTAGAGTAGAATTTTAAATTCCTTTTTAGCAGTAACTACTGTATATGCTAAACACTGGTTTTGGTATCTCAGCCGCTCAGTTTACCTTCATTATCACACATTTTTACAGGCTGAAAGCCACCTGCTGTGCTCTAACAACCTGCCACTCCATCTTACAGATCACAGAAATACGTGTGACAGGTTACAGGCAGGTTTGCAGCTCCGTTACTGATTTTCACACACTCTCTTTTGCTGTTTTATGAACATGGAATATTAAAAAAAAAAAAAGAGAAAAAAAAGCAGCTTCCCACCCTCATCTGACCACAGGATGAAAGCAGATTTCTGTGCAAAGTGAAAACAACACCCAAGAACTGAAAACTAGAAACTGCACAGCATTTTCACATTCCCATCCCATTTCCAGCCCCAGCATTCCCATTCACTCCCAGCACTCCCGTTCACTCGCAGCACAGGACGCGGCCGGAGCAGCGCTTACTTCTCCAAGGGGTCAGTCATTTTTGCCAAATTCTTGTGGAAGCGTAAGGCTTGGATGTCCTGTGTCTCTATTTTGGGAGGCAGGAGTCCCTGCAGCCCCAGCATCTGTCGCTCGTGTAAGGTGAAGGCCATGCCCTGCAAACGAGAGGGGAGCAGCAATTATCAGCTCTTGCCCCAGAACTCCCTCTTCCAGGAACTCTTCCACTGCGCCCTTTTCTCCAGGCAGGGTCGGGGTGTGTTTGCCTCCCCTGGGGCTCTCCTCACCTTCTGGGGGTGTTCCTGTGGAGCACAGCTTCCCCAGACCTTGCCAGGTTTAATTTTCCCCGGTGGGGCTGGAGGGCAGCAAAGAGGTGCTGCTGCAAACGGGTTAAAAGTGAAACAGCAGCTGCTTTTTCAATTGTTCCACTGTCACCCAGGCTGGCCCCTACAGCCACAGGCAGCAACACTCAGATTTTTATCTGAATTGCTCCATTTGCTGCTTCCTTCGGCAATACAGCCTGATGCCCAAGTTACTGAATTGCCCTAATGCTTCTCTTAAGATCACAGTCCAACCCAAATACTTCGTTTTCACTTAGGGATGGATCTAATCCATCTGTCTGCTACCAAAAAGCCTCATTGGTAGCAAATCAGAAGAGTTCAACTGCAAAAACTTCTCACTCTTCTCCATTTGGGAGATGGAGAGTGGACAGAGTTTAAATTTATTGTTATTTGAATACTAATTTGAACCGTTTCTCAACCTTCAGATTCTTACTGCCAAGCTAAAAAAAAAAAAGGCAGCTTTCTAAGGTTTGCCTTATGCCTTGTAATTACACTCCAAGTTCCTCCTGCCACCAGAAAGGTCAGAGAATCAGATGATCCTTGTGGAAGGGACCCACAAAGATCATCCGTGTTCAACTCCTCAACTGGCAAGAAATAAAAATCAGTACTTTTCCACGTGACAGTAAAGGCATCAGTTCAGATTAGAACACAAATATTTTCACCTCTGTTTATATGAGAACAGACTCTTCACAGGTATTTGTAGAACTCACACCCATTAACAAAAAATTTCTAAAAAGAATCCAGTTGTAGTGTAATTCATCCTAGCTGAATGGTTTCTAAACAATACTCCTTAGAGAAAAAAATCCCATTGTTAAAATAATTACTATTTTTACATTATTTTCCTCTCTCCTATTTGGGTCATATTTCATACAGGTTGTTTTGACTACACTGACTAAAGCAATCCACTTGCTTTTCTGTACTGATTCTACACTATGCTCTATGGTAATAAAATACCTGAAGAGCTAGAAAGCAAGAAAAAACCAACAACTCAACCCCAAAAATCTCACTGTTTTGCATTCTTGCAGAAAACTCAAAGTATTTAACCCTAAAATGAATCTGTTTTTCTCTGTATTTATCTTCATGTCTGCCAACCTTTCATGTAATAGACTTGACACTAAATATTGATTTCAGTTTAACCTTTTACTCCTAGGACAGTAGAGTTTTCTACAAGTAGTCAGGAGTCATTTGCAAACCACTGTTTTCTTTCCCAGTCTAACTGCTATTCTACAGTATTCTTCCAATATAAATACAAATAAATTTCAGATGACAGTCCATTCTTCAGATTTTTAACCTTGCTGCTGTTTTTTTGGGAGCTGATTTCTAATTTTTATTTATCTTCATGTCTGCCAACCTTTCATGTAATAGACTTGACACTAAATATTGATTTCAGTTTAACCTTTTACTCCTAGGACAGTAGAGTTTTCTACAAGTAGTCAGGAGTCATTTGCAAACCACTGTTTTCTTTCCCAGTCTAACTGCTATTTTACAGTATTCTTTCAATATAAATACAAATAAATTTCAGATGACAGTCCATTCTTCAGATTTTTAACCTGCTGCTGGTTTTTTCGGGGTTGATTTCTATTTTTTTTTTTTTTTGTGGGGTGCAACAGTCACTTCAGCCACTTCAGTGGTATTTTCTTTCCAAACACTGATCTGAACAATCCAACATTTCCACAAAGACCACAGCCATGTAAACAGAGAGGAGCTGATAGCAGAGAAGAGCCCAGGGAAACACGCTCTGGGTGCCGCAGAGGCTTTTCCTGTGTTGCAAAGGATTAGTTCCACTTCTGCACACTTCGCAAGAAACGCCAATTCTCTGCGAGCAGAAATGCATGCTCCGCACAAGCTCCTCTCAGCTGCCTTCCCATTTCCTCAGCAGCCGCGGCTTGCTGCCACCAGCAGTTTAATACATTTAAACAGAGTTAAATCCTTCCGAAAGCAGCCCTCTCCCACACAGACTGCCTGCAGCTCGGGCCCCAAGGCCGAGCACAGCTGGCAAACACTTGCAGCATGTTGGCTGTTACTCCAGACACCACAGGAGCAAAAGCAGTGCCAAAATATTTACAGTGCTCAGAGGAAGGAGAAGAGGAGGGAAGAAGAAGTTTAGTCTCTGGTCAGCAGGGCCAGTGGAGTTCAAGCCTGGGGAAGGCCACACTGGCTATGCTGACATTTTACTGTAACCAGAGAGAAACACCTCACTACCAAAACCTACATCCCCCCCTCCAGAAAGCCTCCAGTCCTGTAAAAGCCACAACTACCATATTTCTGATCTCCACTATTAGCATGACACCGGAATGTGGCTTTTCCCAACCTCCCTGCAGAGTGGAACCTGTGTCCTTAAAACCTGGGCCCCCAATAATGCCCATGACCCCTGAGCTTAGCTCCAAGCAGAACAGAAACCCATCTTTATTCTGTTTATTCACACTCTTTCCTGTCTGTAGGGAACCTGGGTGTTGAATGTCTCTGGAGTTACAATAACATCAAACAGGATGAATTTTTAAGTGACACTAAGTACTTTCAGCTGTTGATTTACATGATAATTATATCGTATTCAGAGAGGCTTTAATTTCTGCCTAGGCCTGAATCAGGAATCAGAATGACATCAGCCTTCACACACTCAGTCCTTGTTCCAACTGGAGCAGAAGTTTGGGCCAGAGCAGTGAGATAAAACCCCTGAGTCCTTCTAACACTTGCAGTATCTTTGTCCATGACCATGAGCTTGTTTTGGTTGTGGATTTGGGATTGCCCACGCAGCATCTCCCAGGATGGAGCTGCAGTATCACACACCCAGCACTCTTCCAGTGACCCATGACCACAGCCAGCCCCAGGAGATCAGGGGGCACAGCCAGCTCTGGGAGATCAGGGGGCACAGCCAGCCCCGGGAGATCAGGGGGCACAGCCAGCTCTGGGAGATCAGGGGGCACAGCCAGCTCTGGGAGATCAGGGGGCACAGCCAGCCCCGGGAGATCAGGGGGCACTCACCCGGCCCATGCAGCCAGCATCAATTGCCCAAAGGCAGGGAAGATCCCCCACCTAAAGCCCAAACTCCCCCTGGCTTTCCCTGGGATTAAGTGCTTAAGCACTCCTACAGTCTGGGTCTGAGCAGCAGGGTCACTGTGTGCAGGCTGGGTTTCCTTCCCCCAGGTGCTGTGTGCTCACTTTCACTGCCATCAGCCTCCTTAATCCTCTTCTCAGCTCACAACAAGCAGGGGTCGTCTCCAGGCCAGCACAGACAAAGCAGGAGGGAGCCCAGCACGTCTCAAAGCCCACAGATTAATTAATTAACACTCCACGGACAAATTCACTGCCACAAAACCAACCTTCTGCTGGGAGGGGGAATGAAAAACGCTACGGGAGTGAAATGCTGATGCTATTTTAGTTAAGACAAGCTCACACTGAAGCACCATGAACTTCAACCCACAAACTGGCACCGGGACTTCGCAGCAACTGGGCTCCACCACACAAAGCCCGTGCTGCTATAAATACCAGCACACACAAATTCTAGCTGCGTGCCTCGCATGGAGCAGCCTGGACGCTGCGAGCAGGATTTTTATAGCACCACTGAGTAAGGAATTCTGAGAGGTTTCCAAGCAGAGAAGTAGTAGTGGTGGTAAGTCTTCCCCGCCTGCAGTCTTGCAGCCACATATATGACAGTGTATCTTAACCAATCATAAATGCTCTCATACACAGCAAAAACACCATCCAGGGCTCCTGACAAAGATGCACATACAGTTTATATCCAAACATGCCACTGTTTGGAAAATTAGGTACTCATGAGATTTAAAAAATGTAACTTGTAACTCCTAGTAATTGTTAGAACAGATTCAGCAGGGAGCACAGCCTTTGAAGCAGCATCATAAACATCTTGAAAACAAAGTAGACTTTATGTTGGATTGTGGGCTGCTTCTCTTGACTTTGCTCCCTTGGGCTAAACACAAAGTTCACTATTGCACAAGATGCCTCCACTGCAAATTAATAAAGTTCATTCATAAGAATCAAAGGTGTCTTTGCTATCTCCACCAGAGAATAAAAGTTTATGAGAACAGAAAACCTCTCCAGATTTTTTTCCTCCTTCAGTTTTGAACTGGACTCTCTCCCTTTGTTCTCCCAGAGCAGCAGTCTGTGCCCTGGTGGGTGTGGCAGACACAGCAGGGCAGTGCGCTGACACAGCCCACATCCCCATGGCATCCCCAAGCCGTTTTGCACTCCCTCTCTCTGCAGGCAGAGGTGCCACCAGCCCCTGGCCCCTCTGCCAGACGAACACTCCACTCTGGCTGATGACCCACGCTGACTGGAAGCACTCCCCTGCACAAGAGGGGAAAAGCAGGAGCAGAAAGGCTCCACTGCTGCCAAGGAGGTGGCCCAGGCTCTGCCGGGTATATTTCCCATGGACACCACGGCACAGCTGCACACTGCAAGTCATGGGAACCCTGAACGCCCCGGGGGCATCTCTTTAAACTGCTGCTTTTCCATCAGATGTGGCTGCTCCTGCTCTCCTGAGGGGCAACTGCAAGTCATGGGAACCCTGAACGCCCCGGGGGCATCTCTTTAAACTGCTGTGGCTGCTCCTGCTCTCCTGAGGGGCGTTAATCCCACAGGGGCAGTGCCCTTCCTCCATCCCCAGCCCAGAGGTGCTGAGCAGAACACCTGGCCCAAGGTAACGAGGTTTGATAGCCTCCCACCACCTTTGGCACCTGGTTACAGATTAAACAGCTCCATGTAACTCCTTCTGAAAGCACGCAGCTCTCAGGGAAGCTGATAAAACCTGCAGGTGCAGGGCCATGCCAACCCCATCCAAGGATCCCTGCAAACCATCTGGGCAGGGCACAGACCTGTGCAGGGACCTCTGGGCTGGGGGTGTGCACAGTTTCTGTCATTCTCCTGCCCTCTCGGGTCTCTCCTGAGTGATCACAAACTGACAGCAACGTTTGAGCACTGCACCTCTCAGCAGCGATCACCATGTGCATTCCCTCCCCACATCCTGTTTACCCTGGCTTCCCCAGGAAGGCACAGGGGCACTGTGTATTCCACGCCTTGGCTGCTCTGAGATAACCTAAGCTGGCTAAGTCTGAATCTAAAATGATTAAAGCAAATGAAATGTGTCAAAACCAGCATGGTGAGAAAGGGCAGTGGAACAGAGCATCTGCTTTTACATCTTCAAGCTCATACATCTCTTCTTTACACTCTCTTGTGCTATCCTTTTTATTTTGTCAAAATAGCTTCGACTTTGGTTGGGCTTTTTCTGTTTATTTTCTATTCTGAATTGTAAATGTACTGTTAGGATATTTCCCACAAATCAGTGAGGTCATGTACAAGTTTGCTAAGAAAATAATCTCTTTATGCAAAGGTAGATTTATCACAGTTTTTGGAAGTATTCTGGAAGCCATGCGTGAAAATAAATTGGGCTTTAAAGCTGTGAATGAACACATGAAACTGTGAGGAAAATATAACATTTGAGAAGATGACCACCTGTATGAAAGATCTGTTAAAATTCCTCAGGATCAGTCTGGGATTATTAACCTGCCACCAGTGAATGTTTCTTTAACATTTATCACATTTTGTGTATTTCCATGCACATATCTATTGCCATTTCCAGGCAGACACATGCACACAAATATGTGCATTTATAAATCCTGAAGATACCTGCCGAAGCCAAGATTTTGAGAGGCACTGTCAGTGCAGGAGGAGTTTTTGGACATCAGGAGGGATTTCCCCATGGAAAGGGAGGTCAGGAATTGCAGCTGCCCAGGGAGGAGTTGGAGTGCCCATCCCTGGAGGTGTCCAGGGAGGGCCTGGACGTGGCACTGAGAGCTCCGGGCTGGGTGACAAGGTGGGGATCGGGTGACAGGTTGGACTCGATGGCTGGGAGGGCTTTTCCAGCCTCAGGGATTCTGTGATAACCTAATAGTCCTGGGGAACAGAGTTATGGAAAACGGAGTAATGGAACCCACAGTACAAAACACCATCACAGCCTTCTTCAAAGAACACCAAAATAACCAACTAAAATAACCAACTGAGGTACAGCAAGTGTCGCCAACTATTCAGTCACAAATTTTCTGCAAGCCACAGAAAACAAACACACAGATAACATTACAGGTCATGTATTTCCAGTGGAGACAAGAACACTCTGATGGCACTCCACGTGGCAGGACAGACATCACCAGGCAGGGATCCTGTGCATCACCTGCTCTGTGCTGGAAGAACAAACCCTGCCCCATCTGAAGCACTGCAGCGTATCAGTAACGATTTAATTGCCAGCACTAAACCAGGGAGATTGTCCTTAGAGCGTGCTAAGCAAGCTGAAAATGCTGCCTGGGCACAGCAGGGACCTCCAGCAGGACAGAAGGTCCTGGAGCCAAGTGCCTGCAGGGGCAGCCCTGCAGGGAGCAGGGGTCACCCAGCGAGATTGTCCTTAGAGCGTGCTAAGCAAGCTGAAAATGCTGCCTGGGCACAGCAGGGACCTCCAGCAGGACAGAAGGTCCTGGAGATAACTGTCTGCAGGGGTCACACAGTACGGGGGGCTCTGACAGAGCAGCATGCCACAGCAGCTGCAGCAGGCGCTGCACTGCTGGCTGCAGCAGGCTCTGCACTGCTGGCTGCAGCACTGAGCTGGCCCAGAGAGCTCACTGCCTCCTCCTGCCCAGGAACACCCCAAATCTGCCCTGCAAACACCACAGCCCAAACCAGCTGGTGCAGCCGTGCTGTCCGCCTGCAACCAGGGGACATTTTTGTTTGTGACATTTGTACAACCCTGGGCAAGAAAATAAAAACAACTGGAAGAGAAAAACCTACTCCAGTGGCAAAGAGCAACAGATTAGTTTGCACAAGGGTGAGGGCTGGTTCCTGCCCCTGATGCTGTCCTTCTGCAGCTCTTGTTATAGGAACGTGTCCCTTAGGGCAGACCAAATGTTCTGCAGAGTCGATAGGGGATGTAAAAATTAAATGTAATCAAGTAAAACATGATAACCTCAACAAGCTGACAGCAAGGAATAACACCCTTTATCTGTTTCTGTACGTAGATAATATATATATATCTATCCACACGTGAGGCACAAGGGGTAAAGTACTCAGTGTGTTTAATAAATCATTTATATCTTTGCTGAATATCCAAAATGCGTTTCCATACAGATACTGCATCCAGCAGTATCACTCAGTGAGCTTTCTGATCCACTCCAACAGGCGTCAGCAGGAAGGACAGGCTGATACAGCAGAGACAAACTAATGCAGAGTGGGGTTCCCTCCCACCAGTGTAACTTCGTGGAGGCATAAAAAAATTTTAAAAATCAATTGCCATTAACCAGAAGCTCCCTACTGCCTTCTGCTCCTCAAGAAAAACAACTGCATTGTGCTCAGTCCAGCTGAGGATCCCAGGGTTAAAAAAACTGGAAGGATATCACCACTAGAAAAACAGTGAAACGACCTATTGTTCTTGTTTCAGAATACTGTTGCATAATCAGCATTTAGAAAAGCTTACAGGGGTTGAAGTAATTTCCATGGCACCTCAAAGTCTTCAGAGCTCAGAAAGTCTCGAGACAATCTGATCCTGACAAATCACACCAATCTACCCTTTTCTCCTTCCCTGACACAGCAATCTCCACTTCAGTTTGCAGTCAGCCAGTCTCAACCTTCCACAGTTCTCTCTCCCTCCCTTTGGGCAGCTGGGATTCGGGCAGGATGGAGGCATCCTGCACTCCACTGCCCAGGGCAGAAAGGGAAGGGTGAAATAACCCAGCCCCACAGCTTAGAAATGCCCTGCCAGACAGGCAGATGTGCCTCCTTTCTTGACCACTTCAGACGTCTTGGTTCAGCCACCAAAAGCCCTCATCTGATTTCTTACCAGTTTTAATTTTCGTATTAATGGCTGCAAGATTCCTGAAGGCCACTACAGCTCCAGTGGGGGAAAAAAAAAAAGAGGTTGAGGATGGGCTTGTGGAAACAAGAACAGTTCAGTGAAGGGAACAAAAAGCTTCTTTCTTATAAGTCTGCCTCAAAGCATGAAATTAACATGATATCTGTACCTCCCAATTAGCTCCCACCAAGGTTTATTTTTAGATGCTCTTTCAGACTCTGCAGAGGGATGTTTCCTGGGCGATGTGGCTCAGCCCCAAGTCTCAGTGTCCCAGGAAAGGGCCAGAGCTAGGATAGAGAGGCTAACACTTCCTGTGGTTACAGAATCACAGAATAAGAAGGTTGGAAGTGACCTCTAAGATCACAGAGTCTAACCCATGTCCTAACACCTCAACTCAGAATCTAGACTATAACACCAAGTGCCATGTCCAGCCTTTTTTTAAACATATCCAGAGATGGTGATTCCACCACCTCCCTGGGAAGAGCATCCCAGTACTTTATTATCCTTTCAGCGAAAAATGTTTTCCCAATATCCAGCCTATACATTCCCTGATGTAGCTGAGACTGTGTCCTCTGGTTCTGTCAGTGCTGCCCAGTGTTTCTGTCAGTCCCTATGGCTGGGGAATTCAGAGTTAACTTTGGCAGACTCTGGGTCAGACCCTGTCCCTGTGGCTCTGCCAGTTCCTAAAGCTGGTGAATTCAGAGTTAACTCTGGCAGACCCTGAGGTCAGACCCTGTCCCTGTGGCTCTCTCAGAGCCTGTCCCTGTGGCTCTGTCGGTTCCTAAGGCTGGTGAATTCAGAGTTAACTCTGGCAGACTCTGGGGTCAGACCCTGTCCCTGTGGCTCTGTCAGACTCTGTCCCTGTGGCTCTGTCAGCTCCCATGGCTGGTGAATCCAGAGTTAACTCTGGCAGACTCTGAGGTCAGCCCCTGTCCCTGCTCAAGCTCTCCCAGCTCAGCAGGGCTCAGCAGTGCCAGCATCCCCTCGTGTGCCCAGGGCAGCACCGTGCGGAGCAGCCCTCGCTCTGCGGGTCAGGAACTGCTCCCTGCCTCACCACCCCGTTCTGGCTGTCCATGGGACGCGGGGCACGGGCCTCTCCTTGGAGGCAGACAGACAGCTGGACAGGCCTCACACCCACCTTGTTGGTGCGCGGGTTCAGCATGAGTGGCTTGCCCTTCTCCTTGGTGTGCAGGCCGCGCCGCGCCGCCGCGCCGGGCGCCCAGGCGGCGCGCAGTCGGGACAGCATCCTCGCTCCTCCGCAGCACCTGCGAGGCAAAGGCAGCGCTCAGCAGAGCCCCCGGACACCGCCGGGGCTCCCCGCTGCCGCAGGGAAGCCCTGCCAGCGTCAGACCCCTGCTAACAGCGTGAAGCACCAGCCCAAATCCGCCCTGCGGCAGCCAGGAGGGAAAGGCAGGAAGGGCTTGGAATGCTGAGGGCACGGAGCAGGGAAGGCAGGGATCCTCCTGGCAGGCAGGGGGGAAAGGCAGGAAGGGCTTGGAATGCTGAGGGCACGGAGCAGGGAAGGCAGGGATCCTCCCAGCAGCCAGGGGGGAAAGGCAGGAAGGGCTTGGAATGCTGAGGGCACGGAGCAGGGAAGGCAGGGATCCTCCCGGCAGAGCAGAAATGCCAGCAGTGGTTTCAGCGGTGACCCGTGGCACCGGCACTGGTGCAAATGCCAGCCAGGACGGGACAGCCTGGGCAGCTGCACCACAAAATCTGCACTGGGATCCTCGGGAGCTCTCCAGTGAAACCTCCTGGCCTGGGCAGCACGGGGGAGAAACTGTCTGTCAGCATATTGAAACTCTGCTGCAACAAAATGTTGAATTAAAATGGCAAAAAACTCCACTGAACTGGGGATTCCAGGCTCAGGTTTTTACAATTCCAAACTTTAAAAAGTTTTATTTTCAGAGAGAATATATATTTTAAAGTAAAGGATGTTTCCCCAAAAGAATTAAAAATTGTTTGCATAACCCAAGTTCTTATCCTGACAGGTGTTAGCAACTCTTGAACTCATTTTAATCCATTATTGATTACAAGCTCTTCGGTGAAGAAATTACCATTTACTACGTGCTTGTATAAGGCAGGACCAGCAGGGAATGTGCATGAATTCACCTCCCAAAGATTATTTCACTGGGAGTGAGAGACAACAGAAAGCAGGGCAGGACCATGGTCAGAGTGGTGACAGAGGGAGGGGACAGCAGGGGACCAGGAGAGGGCACCTGCCACCCCCAGCCCAGCTACACTCACAGCCCAGACAGGCAAGGACAGTAAAGCAGGGCATGAGATATTTGTAAGGAATGAAATGATGCATGGCTTGCATTTTTAATTTCTTCCAGATGGGAGGCAAAATTGAATTAAGGAACAAAACTTCATTATCTTAAACATCGCCTGAATACTTTAGAAGACCTGCTCTAATCAAATTTGCACATAATCAGCTTTTAAGATGGTAGACTGGTTTTACAAGTTACAGTCTGAGGATCTTCTTGAAAATCTTTCCAAGCATTAAAAAACTATGCAAACATTTAACATTTTTCATTATCAGTTATGCCCGAGTTTCTCTTCTACCCACTAGGAAGGGTCGAGGGAAGCTGCTCTGCATCCAGAAGCATCCCTTCCCCTCAACCTTCACTTGTGTGTTTAGGCCTGTGGATGACAAAAATTCCACTCAAACCCCCTGTGTTGATTTGTTTTGGGGTAAAGACCATAAATTTGTGGCGTGGAGTGGGACAGGAGGCACGGGAGGAAGCCTTGCCATCAGCACAAACAAATGTTGCCCTTCACGTGCTTGTTCCTCCCCAAACCTGCTCGTGGTGGAGTGAGCTGCCAGGGAAATCAGGATCAGACCAGGGAAATTAATTCTGTCCTGCAAAACACATTAATTCCGTGCTGTTTTTGGATCATCCAATTCAGCTCTAACTGGTTTTAGCTCTGGCTGCTCACTTGCCATCACCCCACGGCTGCAGGTCCATCTCCTGGGCAGGGGAGCCCAAAAACGATCTGTGACTCCAGTGCCACAGCAAACCCCACCCCAGAGCCCCACCAGCCTGGTGCCACCGTGGCGTCACCCTGTCACCAGCAAAGGCCTCAGACAAGGAATTACAAAGTAGAACAAGCACCACACCCTGCCGAACTCTAATTAAATTTAAATTACTTTGGTGCAATTAATGAGCATTTAAGAACCAAACAAGATTGTGGCCTAGATTCACCTGAACTTGATCAATTAACTCTAATCAACGAGGCAGAGGGGAAAAGGCTTTTCAGAGGTGACACAAATCTTGCTTTCTTCCCTGATGTGTGAGAGAGGAGACTTGGTCCTCTCCGAGGTGTCACACCAGCACCTAAAATTATTCTCTTGATGGAGTTATCTCAGATTCATAAAAGGGGAGAATCAAGTTTCATTTTCCACTGAGCCCTCTGTTTAGATCCCAGAGATATGATCCCAGTTAATTTATACCCACCACAAAACCTGACTGGTCACTCAGCCCTGAGCTCGCCCTCCCCTGCTCTTCTCATTGTTCCCTGCTTGTTTCCTCTCCATCCTGCACACCTCCTCCAACTCCTTTGTCACAGACTTTTGAAAAGAGGTTCAGCAAGGGCTTGCCTGCAAAACCGACCTCAACACGACCTAATCTGACCTCACAAGCAGGAAATCCTCCCCCGTGCCTGCCAGCAGCTCTGCCTGCCTGGCCGTGGCCCTGCGACCCTCCCCAGCTCTGCTGGCCACCAGCCTGTCCCCTGGACCTGTGGGGAAGGACAAAGGGACACGAAGCCTCACGCTCTGTGGCTCACGTCTGCTGGGGAGCCACAAGAACAGGGCTGGGGAGAGGTCCCCAGAGGTCCCTAAGCCACCACCTGGTTTCAAGGAGATGGAACGTGCTGCTGTCTGGGGAGGCTCTCACATGGCTGTGATGGGTTTGTAAAGAGAGGCCAGGCTTGAGAGGGTGGGAGTTAGACCATAAAGAGCAGGAGAGATCATTTTGGCAGTAGAGACTGACAGAGAATGCCAGAGTGGTTTGGGTGGGAAGAGACCTCAAAGCCCATCCAGTGCCACTCATGCCATGGGCAGGGACACCTTCCACTGTCCCAGGCTGCTCCCAGCCCTGTCCAGCCTGGCCTTGGGCACTGCCAGGGATCCAGGGGCAGCCACAGCTGCTCTGGGCACCCTGGGCCAGGGCCTGCCCACCCTCCCAGCCACCAATTCCTGCCCAACATCCCAAAATGTGTGCCTGCCCTGTGGCAGTGCAGCCATGGCCTGTGTGCTGTGCCTGCAGGCCTTGTCCCCAGTGCCTGGGCAGCTCTCCTGGAGCCCCTGCAGGCCCTGGCAGGGGCTCTCAGGTGTCCCTGCAGCCTTCTCTTGTGCAGGGGAGCAGCCCCAGCTGTGCCAGGCTGGCTCCAGAGCAGAGGGGCTCCAGCCCTGGCAGCATCTCCGTGGGGAAGGGAAACAGCAGCACCTGCCACGATGTGAAAACACGCAGAGGACTGAGGCTGTGCAATGTCCTGCGAGGAGGAGGAATTAGGAGGAAAGCAGCAGAACTGAATGAGGAATAAATTCCTGCCCAAACCTGTGTCAGCATAACCAGGATCTCTGCTCCCACTCTGTCAGTGCCTGACAATGGTGAGAACTACACCAGAGTGTGGAGCACCTCCAGACCGAGTCCAGCACAGCTGGGAATTTTTGAGTTGCTGTGTCACAAATTAAGGGGATTAAATCCATCAGCACACCAGAGGACAGCTCCCTGCTGTGCCTTATCAGGAGTCATCTGCCCAGGTCAAACTAATTACCAATATGCACAAGCGCCCTTATCTGGGAGCAAATGTTCTGCTGCTCCAATTATGGATTTGTTAAATGGCAAAACCTACTTTTAAGGGAAAGGTTCACCACGCTCTTAAAAGGCAGAATTAGGTTGTTCAGAGAGTCGGGAAGCTCAGAGCCAATTAAAGCAAGGCCAGCTTCAATTAGTGCCCAGGCTGCCTGACCCGTGGGTGTCCCCTCAGTGCCAGGAGTGCCTGTCCCTGCACAGCAGCTCGGGGAGGATGACTCTGCAGCCTGCCCTCAGTCTGAAGGGTGGGGAAACACAAATGCATTCCCAGCGCTCCTGAAACCCTGTGTCAGTGATTCGTTCCAGCCTTTCTTTCCTGTACAGAAACTGGCTTGTGTCGAGGAGTTATTTTGTATTGATATTGACAAGCTGAAATCATCAATTCAAGGCCACGGAGGCCCCACAGAATTTCCAATTTTTAAGGCCTCAACCCTTTCTAATCCAACAGTCTCCTCTGCCTCCACAGCCTGCCCCACCTCAGGGCTGGAGTGGATGCACCACACTCTCTTTTTTTTTTTTTACAGTAATAAACAGCCCAGCCTGGCCCACCCAAGCATGACACAAACCAGGCACACACTAGCTGGCTTCATCACCTCAGTAACGATAAAGCAGTCCAAAATTATTGCATTAGGCCAGCACGGGCTGTAAGTGTGCCTCCCCACGAGACTTCCCCCTAAAGAAAGCAGCTCTCCCTGCACCACCGCCCTTCAGCAGGACAAGGAGCCACTTTAGCTCCAGAACAGGAGCATCCCAGGAGGGAGCAGAGGGATGAGGAGAAGGCACGTGGTTCTGCACAGCAGCTCGGCTCCTCTGGCTCCCTGAGCTGACCAGGAGCTGCTGCTGAGGAAAGCCAGCAGGAAACACTGGCAAAACTACTTCAGGTCCCCTCCAGCAAAGTCCTGGGCCACCACTTTAAAGGACGTTTCTAAGGCACCTTGAGATCTGCAGATTAAAGGAACAGTCATGGGCAGAAATTACTAATGAAGTGTTTGGCAGAGGCAGGCGGGTTGTTTTGGAAGCAGATCTTTAGCATACTGGGATTACTTTTCTTCCCTTTTATTCTGAGGCAGCCTGCTCGACAGGAAGAAAAGTTAGGTGTGGAGCACCCAGGCAGAGTGAGCAAGCTCACCACCTCAGGCTGGAAACAGTCACTAAACAGAGCACACTCAGGCGACCTCGGGGGAGAATGATTCAGAACACTTCCTAAACAGAGTATTTCTCAATTCCTGTAATTTACAGTGCTATCAGACTTCTTGCAGCACGAGCAGAAAATGTAGCTGAATTGTTTGGTGTTGGGGTCTTGGTGGGTAGCAGCTCTTACCAGACAACATCAGAGAGCTGCATTTTTATACATTTACTGACCTAAATATTCTGATTGTTAAGCACCAGAAAGTCCATTAGTTTTACTGTGGAAACTGCAGCAGCAGTACTTTTGGCTAACTCTAACACGATGTATTGACATGCTTGATTTATTTTAATTTGTGTAACTAGGAGGGCCACTGGCGGTAAAGGTAAGGACAAAGAGCTCATCCTAAAAGCCCTCAGGAGTACTCCAGGAATAGCAGAAAGGTACTCAAGCTCTGCAGAACTGGCACGCCCCTGTGCTGGAGCTGCTCAACTCCGAAACTCAGATTTTGTTTTTGGATACAAGTTGAGGGGCAGACAAGGATGCTGCCAACAACTGCTGGAGGTACAGGAGTTCTTCCTGGGAAAGCAGCTGAGCACAGAGAAGCCGAGCTGCTGGCAGCTCAGCGCAGGTGAAGTGCACGCCTGCCAGCCTCTCACAAACCTCGGCGTGTGCTGGCCAGGGCTTGAAAAACAAATACCCAAGAACCTGAGAGCCTAGCCGTGCACCACGAGCCAGCAGGGCTGCTCCAGCTGCAGGGAGGGTGCTGGCACCACTCGTAAAGGTGAGCATTCAATTAGCACTCACTCACCACGCACTTTGGCAGCTTCTGCCTCAGTTTGCAGAGCAAAAAGCTCCGAATCCTGCCTGCACTCAAGCTGCTGACTCACAAGCCACCGCGCAGGGTTATCAGAACTTCCCTCCTGCGACTGTAACACACAGTTTCTTCTAAAACGCAGGCTCAGGTTAAATTTCTACAGATGTTATAGCTTCTAATAAGGCATTAGACACCGCTGGCTGCACACACACGGGCCACCTGCAGAGCTGCACATTCTGCCCAGCTCTTCCATCTGCCCACATGTAAATCACAGGCACCCAGAGCACCTCCCTTTGCTGCTCACTACTTTTTGGAATTACCAACACAACGACACCAAACAATCCACATTTGGCCGTTTTGATCTTGCTGGGCTGCAGGTCCGTCCCTTTTCACCAGCCCTTTATCAGTGTGCTGTAAGTTCGGTTTTTCTCCTGTCAATTACGAGATTCTTGCCACCACACGGCACCCCGGGCTGCTCCGACACCAGCCCTTAGTCGGTATATTTTAGAGGAGCGTGGGGCCGGCCAGGGCCGAAGGAGCAGCCAGGAGGCCGAACCCGGCAGCAGCTCCGAGGGGCCGGGCGGCGCTTCCTGCTCCAAGGCCGCGCCAGCCGCTCCGCTCCTGCCCAACTTTCACTCTCCAGGGCCGCGGGGAAGTTCAGGGCAGGTCGGGCCCGGCGCGGGGGCGCTCGCCGCGGCCTCGGGCAGCTCCGTTTGTCACCGTTCCGACAGGGGTAAACACGCACGGGCTGCTGCCCGCGGCTCCTCGCCGGCACCTCCGCACCTGCCGCAGGGCCCGGCGCTGCCTCCGCCGCAGGCCGAGCCTCGGCGCCTCGCTCCGCCGTGCTGCTGCTTCGGCACGGCCCCCCGCGGGGCCGGACCGGGGACACGGAGCATCCCGGGCGGGCTCCATCCCCTCCCCGCGCCCGGGCGGCCTCCAGCCCCTCAGAACGCCCCGCAGACACGGGTTTATAAAGAGAGAGAGAGGCCTGTGGTGCGCCGCCGCAGTTGTATAATTGTTACCAGAACGGGATCTACCTCCTCCTGCGGCTGCTACCCGCTGAGCGATGCCGGCCGAGGACCTGTTCCTACTGAGCGAGAGCAGCGCCCGCCCGCCGGAGCTGCATCCACCGCAGAACCCGCCACTGAATGGAGCCAACTCCGAGGCGCCCGGGAGGGACACCCCGGGAGGCGGGTGTTGGCCGTGACTGACAACCGGCGCAGCAAATAGAAGAGAAGGAAACTCGCCGGCGATGGCGGCACTTGGCCAATGAACGTTTTGTCCCGCCCCCGCAGAGGGGAAAGCGGGACAGGCGCGGCGGGAGCTGTCACAGGTTAATTGGACTGGCGAGACAGCCAATCAGCGAGGAGGGGCGGGGCGAGGGCGGGACTGGGGATGGGCGCGTGAGGGCACGGGGAACGTGAGGGGAACGTGAGGGGAAGGGAATGGGAATGGGAATGGGAATGGGAATGGGAATGGGAATGGGAATGGGAATGGGAATGGGAATGGGAATGGGAATGGGACGTGAGGGGATGGGAACGGGAACGGGAACGGGGAACGTGAGGGGAAGGGAATGGGAATGGGAATGGGAATGGAACGTGAGAGGATGGGAATGGGGAACGGGGTTGGGGAACGTGAGGGGATGGAGATGGGGATGAGGAACGGGGAACGTGAGGGGATGGGAATGGGAACGGGGAAAGTGAGGGGATGGGAATGGGAAACGTGAGGGAATGGGAATGGGGAACGTGAGGGGAAGGGAATGGCAATGGGGAATGGGGAACGGGGAACGTGAGGGGATGGGAATGGGAACGGGGAAAGTGAGGAAATGAGGAATGGGAATAGGGAACGTGAGGGGATGGGGAACATGAGGGAATGAGGAACATGGGGGGATAGGGAATATGAGGGGATGAGGAACGTGAGGGGACAGGATCCATGAGGGGTTGGAAGCCATGAGAAGATGGAGGTCTGTGAGGGGGGATGGGGCTGCGAAGGGTTGGGGGCTGCGAGGAGCTGGGTCCGTGAGGAGTCTGGGTCTGTGAGGGAATGGGGCTGTGAGGAGCTGGGGTCCATAAGGAACCTGGATCCATTAGGGGATGGGGTCCGTGAGGGGACAGGGCTGTGAGGAGCTGGGTCCGTGAGGAGTCTGGGTCTGTGAGGGAATGGGGCTGTGAGGAGCTGGGGTCCATAAGGAACCTGGATCCATTAGGGGATGGGGTCCGTGAGGGGACAGGGCTGTGAGGAGCTGGGTCCATGAGGAGTCTGGGTCCGTGAGGGGATGGGGCTGTGAGGAGCTGGGGTCCATAAGGAACCTGGATCCATGAGGGGATGGGGTTGTGAGGAGCTGGGGTCCATAAGGAACCTGGGTCCATTAGGGGATGGGGTCCATGAGGGCACAGGGCTGTGAGGAGCTGGGTCCGTGAGGGGACAGGGATGTGAGGAAAGGCTGAGGGGGAAAGGCAAAGCAGGAGGAAGGAGCAGAGAGCGGAGGCAGGGAAATGGGGTCACTCCACGCAGAGCTCCTTGTGGCAATGTGGAAGCTGCTCCCAGTGGCCAGGGCCACCGTGCTGGATGCCGTGTGAGAGCGGAGGCAGGGAAATGGGGTCACTCCACGCAGAGCTCCTTGTGGCAATGTGGAAGCTGCTCCCAGTAGCCACCGTGCTGGATGCCCTGCGTGGAATAGGGCTCCTCAAAACATGCAGGGCCACAGTGCTGGGGTAAGCCCTGCCTGGTCTGCTGCCTCACGGAGCCAGCAGGGCTGGGACAGCCTTGGACTCAAACAGAAGGCTTGGCAGAAGTCACCGAGGCAGCTAATAGTGCAGGTCAGCACTGGAATTGCAGAAGAAAAGAGCAAAACCATCACTTTTCACTATAACACTTGGCTGTTTGTCCTCACAAAGGTCTCAAATCAGTGGAAGTGATACCCATCCCAGCTCAGCCTCCACAGAGTTTGGAGAGGGAAAGTGCAGGGGTATGAAACATGACAGCTCAGCCCATCCCAGCCTCGTCTGCCTCCTCTCCAGCCCAAACTCAGATATTTTTGAGTGCTGTAGATCTTGAGACTGTTAATCACAGAATCCTGGAATGGTTTGGGTTGGAAAGGACCCTAAATCTCATCCATGGGCAGGGACACCTTCCGCTGTCCCAGGCTGCTCCAAGCTGTCTTTGGACATTGCCAGGGATCCAGGGCCTGCCCACCCTCCCAGCCACCAATTCCTGCCCAAGGTCCCATCTCGTGCTCCCCACTTTCAGTTAAAAAGAGAAAATGTTATTTTAACAATAACTTTTATTAAGTAAGAATTTTAATTCTCTGCCACTGGCACGAAGACAATTTAAATAGTTTGATGTATGAAGGAGCACGGTGCAGTTAAAAGAAGCAGAGTCACTATAGTAACAGTATCAGATACGTAAAGCTACTTAATCAAAACCCCCTCTCCTAATTATGATTTTGAGGCCTGTCATAAGGAGCACATTCAGCTGCTCCCCTCCCTGTCAGCATGACTGTGGCGGGTGTCAAACATTTCTGAATAATGCACCTATAAACAAAGGAGATTGCGAAAATAACCTGCAAGGTCATGCCTTTGTGCCCGGCTAAAAATAGCCCAAATTGGAGGCATTTAAAAAGGCCTGGCTTGGTACCCAAACTGCATAAATCACTGCCCCGGGGCCGAGCTCCCTGCAGCGGGTTTGTGTGGCAGGGAGAGCTGTCATTTCCTGGGGGCACCCAATCCAGGCTCCGGGCCTTTTCCGAGACACAGGTCACTGTGCAGAGGAGGCCTGGCCGTGCTCCGTGCCCAGCAGGGCCATGGAACCACGGAGCCACTGGGGCTGGAAAAGCCCTCACACCCTCAAGTCCAGCCATCCCCCAGCACCGCCAGGGCCACCATGTGTGTGCCCGAGTGCCACATCCACCTGGCTTGAGGGATGGGGACTCACCACTGCCCCTCCTGGAGCTCCAGCCCCTTCCCAGCTCCCTCTGCCCCTCTTGGGGCTCCAGCCCCTTCCCAGCTCCAGATTTAACGAGGGAAAGTACAGGGGTGTGAAATGTGTCTCTCCCAGTGAGTCTCCGTGCCCTGCCGGTGCTGCAGAACCGGAGCAGCAGCCGCTCTCCTTCCTCCGCAGGGCCTTTGCCACCGTATTTGGTGCTCACTCGGAAGTTTGCCCTGGCGCAGGGAATTCGCTGCTCCGCTGTGGCCAAGAGGAGCTCCTGGGCTCCCTGAATCCAGCCAGCACAGGCACGGAGCTGCCGCCCCTCCCGGCGGGGCTGGAGCGGCCTCCAGAGTCACGGCTCTGAATCCATTCAGGAATTTCTAATGCGGCAGATGGCTCTTTCATGGTCACGTTTCTGCGTGCACAGGCCGTTTTGTTCGGCTGGGGCTCCTTTCCAGAGGGAGACAGGAGTTTGTGCTAAATTGAAACTGCATCTCCCAAAAATCATCGCTGTTTGAAGGTAGTTCTCCTAAACCACACCAAGGTGGTTTCTTAAGGCACTTTCACCATCCTAAAACTGTATTCCATTTCTCTTTATTGTCTTCCTAAGCTTCTGGTATCTTCTGCTTGTTTTTTGTATCTTTGCTGAAGGGAATTTCCTTTTTTTTTTCTCAATTTTTCTTGTGATAAACCATAGTGGTTTTAACCACTCAATGCCTGATAAAGTACACAGAAGATTTCTGTTCCCCATCCTTGAGATAGTTTTGACTCTCTTTTCTGTAATATTTTCAGTTTCTCAAGTATCTTATTTAAAGTATTGTTACCAGCACTGGACCCTGTGTTCTCATTTTTCCTGTCACTGATCCTTGATGCAAATAACTAAACTAAAATAATCTCTGTTGTAGTTGCCTAGATCTGTCCTTTCATTCCTTCTGTGGTGCTGCCCTGTCACTCCCATGAACTCACTGATAATGTAGCTCTGTGTGCCCAGTTAATACAGAACAAACAATTATTTAAGCAGTGGTACTGGCTTTTATCTGGCTCCAATCTGACGGTTTTGCAGTATGGACTAGCAGAACAAGCCACCCCTCAGAAGGTTTCTGTGGCTTGGTGGAAACTGAGTGGTTTGATTCACAGTAAGGCTTCTTGGCCTTCTGCTCTTTATTTCTGTTAAAAAGCAATGCTGATTGTTCACTCTGACAGGCCTGATGCAGAGGAGATGACCGCACTGACTCTTCACATTTACATGAGGCTGAAGCAGGAACGAAGCAGCAAAGATGATGGCTGCCCCAAGGCAAGGTTTGTGAAGAAAAATAATGTCTTTTATTACACCAATTACACTAAAAGATATTACTGCTGTCCATCACCCTTGCCCTTTTTACTTCTTTACAGCAACAACAGAGCTAAGTACGTTTACACCGTTTCCACTCTTTGCATTCAGTTTCTGACTGGTAATTTCATTCTGTCTTAAAGCAGTTCTGTGTAAAATTTCTCATTTAGCCTTTTTGGGCTCCGGTGTGTGCAGAATTGGCAGGCCCTGAGACCAGCTCACATGGGAAGTTAATACAGAACAAACAATTATTTAAGCAGTGGTACTGGCTTTTATCTGGCTCCAATCTGACGGTTTTGCAGTATGGACTAGCAGAACAAGCCACCCCTCAGAAGGTTTCTGTGGCTTGGTGGAAACTGAGTGGTTTGATTCACAGTAAGGCTTCTTGGCCTTCTGCTCTTTATTTCTGTTAAAAAGCAATGCTGATTGTTCACTCTGACAGGCCTGATGCAGAGGAGATGACCGCACTGACTCTTCACATTTACATGAGGCTGAAGCAGGAACGAAGCAGCAAAGATGATGGCTGCCCCAAGGCAAGGTTTGTGAAGAAAAATAATGTCTTTTATTACACCAATTACACTAAAAGATATTACTGCTGTCCATCACCCTTGCCCTTTTTACTTCTTTACAGCAACAACAGAGCTAAGTACGTTTACACCGTTTCCACTCTTTGCATTCAGTTTCTGACTGGTAATTTCATTCTGTCTTAAAGCAGTTCTGTGTAAAATTTCTCATTTAGCCTTTTTGGGCTCCGGTGTGTGCAGAAGTGCCAGGTCCTGAGACCCCAGCCCACAGTGGTGCTGAGAGACAAATCCCTTTGTCAGTGACTCTCACTGTAGGTTAACCAGGTGTGTCTTTTTCTGCTTTTTAATTTATGTTTTAGTTTCTCTTCTTGCGATCTGCAGCCTGTGCT